GATCTCAAAAATCGCTAAATTTGGTGCCCCATGTTAAATCAATGGGACCGAATAATTTTTTGAAGTGTAAAAATACGATATAAAGAATGAGTACAGCTAAACATAATGAAAGCCCATAGAAGAAGGGGACCTCAAAAGCTACTTTCCTTCAAAGTTTGGACACCAAAATACCTAGTTCAAAATCTAGGTCAAATTCATAGTTTTTTTTTATTTTGCGATTCTGACACTACACTTCAATGATATTCTCCGAAATTTTGTATACTTGTAGCAAAGAGTGTGCTAATAATGTAACATTTTGCCGTCAATAAGTTTTTTGACCCACTTTTGAGATATGGTGTCCGAAATGTAGGTCAAAATAAAAAAATCTCCAATTTTAAAGTATGAGTTATGAATTAGGGGTAGAATTTCCTCAGGAATCCGGATCTGAAATTAAAATTGCAATCCGACCCCCGGTTTAGATTCTACGCCATTTTGAAGTTTGAAATTCGCACTTGCCAGTATTCACGATGCAGATTGATCAAATATATTTTCAAAAATTCCTGCATACCCTACTTTACCTCTCTACCTACTCAGCTACTTATTTGACTACTTACTCAATTACTTAATTAGTTATTACTTACTTAGCAACTTACTCAGCTACTAACTCAGGTACTTACTCAGCTACTTACTCAGCTACTTACTCAGCTACCTTCTCAGCTTTTTACTCAGTTACTTACTCAGCTACTAACTCAACTACTACTAAGGTACTTACTCAGCTAATTACTCAGTTACTTACTCAGCTCTTTACTGATCTATCTAGGTCAAATAAATCTGGAGTCTTAAATTGAACTTGTTCAATTTCACAAATCTAGTTCTTTCTTTTTTCTTCCTCCTCACCAAAATTCTCGTCAACTATAACAGCTTACTTAATCCAACTTACATGGTTAACTAAAGACTGTATCCGGCTTTCTGGGAAATTAGGTCAAATTTTTATCTAGGTCAAAGGTCAAGAACTAGGTCAAATCTTACATTTTCAACATTCTTTCAATTATCTTCTTCGATAATTATCGGAACTCCTTCATCTTTTTTTCATTATGTAGTTAAGAAATAGCCGAAGCAAAGATATGACATTAGATTTTTGATTATCTTTACCGATTTTTAAATATGGCGTCCGGAAAGTAGGTCAAAACAAAAAATTCTCCAAATTCAAGGTGTGAGTTATGAAATATATGTAGAATTTTCTCAGGAATCAGAATCTGCAAACCAAATTTCAATCCGAGTTCCGGTTCGAAAGTTATGGCGGTTTGAAGTCTCAAAAATCGCTATTTTGGTGCCCCATGTTAAGTCAATGGGGCTGAAGAAAATTATGAATTGGAAAAACACGGTATTTAGACTTAATGCAGCCAACATAATGAAAGCCTACAAGAAGAGTTGACCTCAAAATCTACTTTGTCTCAAAATTTGAACACTAAAAAGCCAAGGTCAAAATCTAGGTCAAAGTTTGAGTTTTTCCTTAATTTTGCGAATCTGACACTACACTTAAATAATATTCCTTGAAATTTGGTATACAGATAGCAAAAAGTATGCTAATAGTGTTAGCCTTTTGCCGTCAGAAAGTATTTTGACCCACTTTTGAGATATGGTGTCCGGAAAGTAGGTCAAAATAAAAAATTCTCCAAATTTAACATATGAGCTATGAATTAAGGGTAGAATTTTCCCAGGAATCCGAATCTGCAAACCAAATTTCAATCCGACTTTCGGTGCAGAAGTTATGGCATTTTGAAAGCTCAAAAATCGCTAAATTTGGTGCCCTTTGTTATGTCGATGAGAAAAAAGATTTTTTGAAGTGTAAAATACCAGATATAAACTGAGTACAGCTTAACATTCTGAAAGCCTATAAAAGAAGGGGACCTCAAAGGCTATCTAGCTTTAAAATTTTGACACCAAAATGCCTAGGTCAAAATCTAGGTCAAATTCATAGTTTTTCCTTATTTTTGCGATTTCGACATTGCACTTTAATGATTTGCTTCGAAATCTTGTATACAAGTAGCAAAGAGAGTGCTTATAGTGTTAGCCTTCTGATTAGATAGTTATAGCGGTTTGAAGTCTCGAAAAGTCGATATGATGATATCCCCATGTTAAGCCAATGTAGTCGAAGATAACATTCTTAAGAGTTGTCTAAATGTCTATATTCTAGCTAACTCAGCTTATTCTGAATGACTCAGCTTACAAGTTCTGGATGACTCAGCTTGAAAAAAGTTTGAAATCTGGAGTCTTAAATTGAACTTGTTCAATTTACATGTCTAGTTATTATTCTTCCTCCTCACCAAATTTCTCGTCAACTATAACAGCTTACTTAATCCAACTAACATGGTTAACTAAGAACTGTATCCGGCTTTCTGGGAAATTAGGTCAAATTTCTATCTAGGTCATAGGTCAAGAACTAGGTCAAATCTTGGATTTTCACTAATTCACCACTTTTCTCAGTCGTCTTTCAATATTTTTGCTCCGGGTTTTTTTCATCATGTTCCTTGGAAAAAACGCTAATTCCGTAAGGCAAATCGTTTTTTGATTACTCTTACCGATTTTGAGATATTGCGTCCGAAAAGTAGGTCAGAACAAAAAACTCTCCAAATTCAACATGTGAGTTATGAAATAAGTGTAGAATGATCTCAGGAATCCGAATCTGCAAACCAAATTTGGATCGGACTACCGGTTCGGAAGTTATGGCGTTTTGAAAGCTCAAAAATCGCTAAATTTGGTGCCTATGTTAAGTCAATTGGAAAAAAGACTTTTTCGAAGTGTAAAATACAGGATATTGACTGAGTACAGCTTAACATAATGAATGCTTATAAAAGAAGGGGACCTCAAAAGCTACATATCTTCGAAATTTGGACACCAAAATGCCTAGGTCAAAATCTAGGTCAAATTCATAGTTTTTCCTTATTTTTACGATTCTGACACTACACTTTAATAATTTACTTCAAAATTTTGTATACAGGTAGCAAAGAGTGTGCTAATAGTGTTAGCCTTTTGCCGTCAAAAAGTATTTTGACCCACTTTTGAGATATGGTGTCCGAAAAGTAGGTCAAAATAAAAAGTTCTCCAGATTCAACGTATGAGTTATGAATTAAGGGTAGAATTTTCTCAGGAATCTGAATCTGCAAACCAAATTTCAATCCGACTTCCGGTTCGGAAGTTATGGCGTGTCCAAAAAGTAGGTCAAAATAAAAAAATTCCAAATTTAACGTATGAGTTATGAATTAGGGGTAGAATTTTGTCAGGAATCCGGATCTGCAAACCAAATTTCGATCCGACTTCCGGTTTGAAAGTTATGGCGTTTTGAAAGCTCAAAAATCGCTAAATTTGGTGCCCCATGTTATGTCAATGAGAAAAAGGATTTTTTGAAGTGTAAAATACCAGATATAGACTGAGTACAGCTTAATATTCTGAAAGCCTATAAAAGGAGGGGACCTCGAAGGCTATCTAGCTTTAAAATTTGGACGCAAAAATGCCTTGGTCAAGATCTAGGTCAAATTCATAGTTTTTCCTTATTTTTGCGATTCTGACATTACACTTCAAGGATTTGGTTCAAAATTTTGTATACAGGTAGCAAAGAGTGTGCTTATAGTGTTAGCCTTCTGCCGTCAGAAAGTTTTTTGACCCACTTTTGAGATATGGTGTCCGAAATGTAGGTCAAAATAAAAAATTCTCCAAATTTAACGTATGAGTTATGAATTAAGGGTAGAATTTTCTCAGAAATCAGAATCTTTAAACCAAATTTCAATCTAACTTCTGGTTAGATAGTTATAGCGGTTTGAAGTCTCGAAAAGTTGATATGATGATATCCCCATGTTAAGCCAATAGAGTCGAAGATAGCCTTCTTAAAAGTTGTCTAAATGTCTATATTCTAGCTGACTCAGCTTATTCTGAATGACTCAGCTTACAAGTACTGGATGACTCAGCTTAAAAAAAGTTTTAAATCTGGAGTCTTAAATTGAACTTGTTCAATTTACATGTCTAGTTAAGTTTGCAATCGATTCAGGTCATAGTGTATTTTTGGCATTTCTGTGATAATCAATTGATACCAATGGCCTCTATTGGGATCTGCTGATATCCTCATGTTAAGTCAATGGTGCACATCCCCATGTAAGTCAATACAACCTTACTGAACGAAATGATCCATATCTCAGCTTATGTGTGTCCGAGCACTTTAATATTTTCCAAAGTATTATATGACATTTTATTCTTCATGTTACACCTACGAATGATTCATTTTGACCATAGGGATATTTGTCAATAATTGCACATCGTCCTTTATCAACCTACCTCTCAAGTTTTCCAAAAATACGTCTAAATCGTTTGAAAAAACACGTCCGGGACAATCTCCACTGTTAACACTTGGTCACCGTGGTAATATGTCGCCACATAAAAACAGTTCTAATTTGCATATGCCATGGCTAATAATCTAGGTTCATTTCAAACAATAGTCTGTACTTACTCGAGTCTCTAGCCAATACTTGGCTAGAGGTGATTTCATCTGGAATACTGTGAACTCCAATTGAAAAAAGCTGGCCGCCGTGTCATAAATTTATTGAATATTTTAAAAATCGCCAGATAAATAAATCATAAATTAAAACGGAACCGGCTCGGCTCATTTATGACATATGACATGATTTCGTCAGGATTTTGTCTAAAATTAAAACAAAATGGCTCCAAGAAAAATGGCGATATTCGAAAACTGGACGAAATGCCGTTAACGTCTGACATTAGTAACTGGCTGTAAATTCTAAGTTAGCGATCCAGAAGATGTGAACTAATACACTGATCACTCCATGTGTGTTTTGGAATTTTTGGTGAGGTAATAAGACCAAAACTCGCAATTCAAATTGTGATGTGGAAAAATGGCGGACATATGATTTCAAATTTTATGATTACGACATGACCAATTGTTCATGCAGGAAATTATCTTTCCAGGAAGGCCACGATACGGTGGCCTTAGAAGAAGGTAAGTCTGTACAGGCTCTACAAGAGACGATTCAAAAATTAATTAAACAATCTTTGTTATTTTTCTAACACGGATCCAGTCACAAGAACCGCTCTCGTCTTGAAACCAATGTCCAAATTTTTTGGCTCTTGCTATCTTTGCTCTATTTCCAATTATCCAGTTGTTATTTAAAACAATAGGTGTCGCATTTAGCGCATTTGTACGTGTGTACCATTGTCCATCTGCAATAATGTCAAAATCCAGTAGTTTGTACTTCAGATTTGGTTGTGATACCACAACTTCTTGCAGAATTGTTTGATCATTGACCACCACGGGCAACTGTTTGTTAACACCAATATTAGAGAAGATTTTCATAAATTTTTGAAGCCTGTACACAACTCGGTTTAATACCTGTATTGCTGATGGTTGTAGAAAAAGGAAGCCACCAGCTATAGTGTGGTTCCTCGTGGAAATTTGAGCAGCAACAAGATCGTAATGGACTAGAGTCTGTAACAAAGGCAATGGCGAGGAAAACCAGATAGCATCAACTTCGAACAATAGGACCTGTATTTTGCTAATGAGTAATGCAACTAGAAACCGAGTTCTAATCAACATATACCGAACATATCCTACTTCGTTATAGGATAGTTCAGAATTGTTGATTGAGTACAAAACTGTATTGATGCGAGGCCAGTCTTTCTGCAATCTTTGCAAAGTAGTTTCATCTGTGGCTATAATAAGTACATTATCATGTACACTCATGTTAGCAGTGTTACACAACCAACTGTACGTCAGTTCAAGATACGCTTCATTGACCATCGTCACAGCAACTATGCCTCCTCGAGCTTCTTTAGCAACCATCTTCGCATGTTCTATGACCTCACCCAATGCACTTGGCCGTGTCGTTTCTTTTATATAAGTTTTATTAAACACTGTCGACGTTACTATCCAACTTTTACGACCACCGGCATTTTTGGAGATCTCATCTAATTCATTTTCCTGTCTCCTTTTAATACTGACACTTACAATGTCCCTCCTCTCGGTAGCATTTGGAATAGCAGGAAGTGTTTCTCCTTGTTCCGTGTCGTCATCCATATTCCACTTCTTCATCAGATTTATTCCACATATCAAAACACTGATGATCATTCCACCCACAAAAAGACAATACCGTGTCCCAGTTTTCATCTTGATTTCACAATGAAATCTAAAATAAATCATTAAACAAAATTCCAATTTAACAAGAAAAATAAATTAACTCTTGATGAGAAAAATGGTCACACAGAGTACTAGTAAAGAGCCACAGAGCTGAGCTTAGTAATCACTGCGTTTTTCAAATCCAACTCTATTTTGAATTTCAAAAATGTGCAAAAAATGATTGTTGACAAGTTAAAAGTATATCCAATGATATCATCTTCGACTTTCAAGGGTGAAGTCGAAACAATCATGTGAATCTAGATGACAAATCCTCTGCGGACACATGAACAGTTTGTCTAATCAATCAAAATAAAGAAGAAAATCCTCTGACGCCTAATAAACAGAGATCATTACTGAAACAATCCTTACAGATCTTGGATAATTATCCAAATGTTAATATGACATAATTTCTCAATGTTTACTTATATGGTGTTTCCTGCCTTCCACCAGTCCACGACTGACCAGCTAATCAATCCTGATTGGACTACGTGGGAATATTAAGGACTTTTTCCAAGCCCTTAATAAAATATATTATTTCTGACACCCATTTAGCCAATCAATATTCAGGCGAGAATAATAAATGCTCCCAGTAAACCAATGTACACGTATAACCAGACAATGTAAACACTCTTGTCTCTTTGGTATTGCCATCCACTTATGCTTCCATTAAAAATTCATCTTGTTTAACCAGGCATTTTAACTCTATAAAAAAGAGAAATGGTAGAGAAATGGCTGTATTTAGTCACTGCACGAACTGATGTAAAGGGGGTACCAGACCAACCCAATCCATTCCGGTTAAAGTGGTGTGAAGGGATTTGATTCCTTTCTACTTGGCGTCTCATACTGAGCTGGATTAAACAAAAAACTAATGATAACTGGTAATAATAAGGTAATTACATAATCAATGTGAATATATGAAGTTTCGTCTTTGTATTTGAATGATCTTTTGGTCCACCCATGGGCTTGCAATTTAGAGTTAGTTGAAAGCCCATGGTCCACCACTACGATAAATCGTTTTAGGAATATCCTGGTGATGGCATGACAGTGCCAAATACACTATTTACTGCTGGTCAACCAGATTATACAGCCAATTTATATATTCTCGAAGATACTGAATTGTTAGTTGGCGGATTGTTGCTGACATGGTTTAGTATGCACTGTGCATGTCTATCAGTGGAAAAATATGTTGAAGGTGCTGATTCTATGTCAAAATTAATATTCAGCTGGACAGTAACTGAACTGAAATAAAATACATTTGTGCCTAAAAAGACGACCGCCTCGCTAGCTTTAAACGTTTGTGTTCTCATTGATCCAAGCAAGGAAGCTGGTGATCCTAGAGTACACACTTGGAAAGCCAGGGGTGTCACATCCTCGCATGGCCCATGAAGATACACCGGCTAATATCCACTGAGACCCACGCCTACAAACCATTGGTCCACCGGAGTCTCCCTACAAGCAAGAACAAATGCGTAATAGAATAGATATAGAGTTATTCTAAGACAAAGTGATATCAGAGAGAACGTTTTTATCAGTCCATCTTGTTCCCCACGAAAACAACCCAATAAAAAATATGTAACTACATTCTAACGAACCCATTTCTGTATATTTCAAAGTTATTCTTGATCTCCACACACGCATTTCAAGATGACATTGGGACACTTACGGAACACGAACCCCTAATGCCATCTCCTGCACAAATATGGAAGTCATATATCCATGGACCGGGGTTAGGGTATCTTGCCCACATGGCTGCACAGTCAGCATTGGCTACGGGTTCTATCTGAACTTCATTCAGAACATTCTCATCCCCTGTACCTATGGGAAAATGAGAAACATAAGCTTTATTACCCATATGCTTCTTCATGAGCATTACAACCATGGCACACCCATCGTTTGGAAGTGGAGCTACATAAGATAAAAAGGGATAACAAGACATTAACATGCAAAATGTCACCACTTGCCATTTGTTACAGACGCCAACGGCGAACAGCGTCTACAATAAAATTGGAGACTCAGTAAAGCCTAAGGTCTGTGGAGAGAAAAATGGAGAAATTTTACCTTTTCTGAGCTATCGGGGTGAAGTTTGGTCCAACATCTTCTTCCTTATTCCTATTTTATAAAAATGTATGCATATGGCAATATTCATCAACCAGTAGAACTGGCAAATCGTTTAGAATCTACAATTCCATACAAGGAGTCCCACTCATAGATTTTTCAAATTCTTTCCAAGTCGACGTCGAAACACCTAGCGGGTGAAATTGAAACTAATTTTTCTGGCTGCTCGAATCGATAAAATCTCTGATAGTGTGAGTCTTTTTATGAAATCTTTCTGATAGAAAACACTTAATTAATATTAGAAAGCATTAAATGTTGAATCCGAAGCGTAATCTGAAATAAAAGTGAAAAAACATTGCGCGGACGTCAGAGAAAAACTTCCGGTTTAATATAAAATGGCGGACGTCGAAGGAGAAATTATGACGAAGAATTACAGGATTTTCCTTTGCCATTATCGATCGTTATAAGGTATGTGCACAAATTCTAGTAGCATACATGGAAAATAGATACATTTTTAAAGGCAACAACATATTCAAAGCTTTCATTTTACGATAGGCCCAGGATCATTGGATACGACTCGGCAATCGATACTCCCAAGTAGTATACGGCGGGCCTTTCGACCTGCAACCTGCACCTGCACATGCCACTACCACCGGAAGTGACGTCATAGGTCACGTGCACCGGAAGTGACGTCATAGATCACGTGGTAAGATGATGCACCGGAAGTGGAAGTGACGTCATAGGTCACATGGTTACTGATATAACTGGTCAAAGGTTTCTGATAATTGATAAGAGAGAGATAATAAACTGATAAGACAGTGAAAAAGATAACTACCATGGTTTCTGATATAACTGGTCAAAGGTTACTGATATTGATAAGAGAGAGCTCAATTGATAAGATAATCAAACAAACACTGTTAAGGTAACCTGGTGACTATGTGATAAGTTATCTTGTCTACTTCATGGATGTTTCATGGTTATAGGTCAAAGGTGGATAACAAACTGATGAAACAGTAAAAAAGATAACTGCAGAACCATTTTAACCAGACGGGTTTCAACTTGCAGAATTATGTTAACCGATCCCAGTACAGTATGTTTCAACCAATCAGGTTTTGAGATGCGATCATTTTAACCAATAAGGGATAATATGCTTGGACTATGTTAACCAATCGTGGTACAGTATATTTTCATCCAATCAGATATAAGAAAATCGACCAATAGGAGAATATTTGTACAATTTAACCAGTTCAGACAGGTATTGAAGTTTTTTAACCAAGAGTCAATTTAAAGCATTTTTCCAATCTTCACGCTTGAGTGATTTTGGATGATTTCTGGAGTTTGAGATATTTTTTCACCAAACGGTCACTTGATTCTTACTCCTGGGTCATTTTAAAGTATTTTTTAAAGTGTCACGTTTGGGCTATTTCAGTCACTGTTGATCGATTTCTGCTAATTTTTGGAGTTTAAGGCATTTTCACAAAATAGACACCCACCCACTATACAAAATAACACGCTTTAATAGGCATCTGTTAATTTAACATGCCACTGATAAAAATATAAACCCCTACAAGATAAATAAAAAGTGCTAACGTTAACAGTTTTACAGCAGAACATTTTCGACAAATCAAAGTGTATATGCAAATGAGCCGCAGAACCATTTCAATCAATCAGATCAGATTATTGCACTCTTCGACCCCACCACCGCCGCCGCCACCGCCGCCGCCGCCGCCACCGCCACCGCCGCCGCCGCCGCCGCCGCCGCCACCGCCGCCGCCACCACTTTCAACAACAACCCAACAATAACAGTAAAATGTATTTTAGTGCTTTAGTTGTTTATTTAATATACATATTGTCATTTATACAAATTATTTCATAGTCCATTGTAAATGATCACTGTCTGCGTTGACGTTTTCCAGGTGGGCCAGAATACACCATAACATCCCTCTTTTTCTTAGGTTTCTTAAAAAGTCTATTCATCACATTTCCATTATAGGTGTGGTCAAAGGAATCATTGTCACTCATTTGTCTGTAAACTCTCTTTGATGGCCGATCCCGTTCAGCCATTTCTTTCTGCTGCTTGTCAATTTCTGCCTTTGCTCTCTGATAAACAGCTTCAGTGGGACTGACGTGTTGAACAATTGGTTCGTGGACTGATGACACTGGTATCCACTTGAGTTTTCCTCGCTTACCATATCCAGCATGTTCGATGACTCTGCCTTCTACCTGGGCTCGTATAAACTTCTTCCACACTTCTGGGTCATCCACATAAGGCACTATCTTAGGCATTGTTGCTTCTTCCTTTTTTCTCAAACATCTGATGCTCATGACTAAGCTTTCTCTTTATATTCTCATCGTAGTGACTAAAAGGGACTACCAAACGTTCATTCACTACGTTCTTCTTCCATCTCACCAGATGTATCTGTATCTTCTGAATCATGTCCGTCAATAGACTCTTCATCGTTAAACATTTCATCAGCGATATAAGAATATTTGGCCAAAGTTTTTCTGATAGCTCTCGACAGAGACATGTCTTGATCAACTAAGAATTCAATTTCTTCTACTATTTCTCGATGTACATCGGTATCTTTGACTTCAATAAATAACCTCAGAATTTCACCATAGTCATTTAAAAACTCAGATTTTGCTTTGGGATAAAGTTTTGCTTTGAGCTTTTGAGTAATTTCCTTCTCTGGTAATCCCCTGGTAGTGTATTTTTCATACAAAGTGTCAGCTTCTTCAATACATCCAACACGTTCTGCTTCAGAGTAGAAAATGTATAATTTTCCTTCAAATCTTCAGCATGGGGTTCATTTTTACCAGAGTCTTCATATTGGCAATATTTTTGATGTATGTCTGCATGTTTTGTGGTAATCAACACTGTTCCACAGTCTTTACAATGAGGGAGATGTAAAACGGAGGAGTTTCTTAGAGTAACATCATCCATTGGACCTGGATACGTAGCATCCATCTGAGTTGGTTGAACAATGGTATTTGGTCGGAATTCCGACATATCTTGCCTCTGTTGAGCATATGAGCTCCCTGCCGTGTTATAAAAATGTTGAAATGATGTATATGGAACACTTTCTGCAACTTGCTGCAATGCATTAGGCTTAAGCCTCGAACCATCTTCACTTTCTTGCTTCAGATCCACCACTAAGTAACCAAATGGATTTTCCGTAGCTTGTCTGTAAATATCGAGTAAAGTATGCGTCTTTCCAGGATACATTTGAGATGCCAAAACACTTATCTGTCTTTGATCCCTCGGGTTCTTGAATAGAACCAAGTAATGGCTGTTTAAGCTCATTGTTCTGCTTTCTCCATTGGGTGGGAAAATATTTTGTTGTAGCGTGATAATGGATATATTTTTGTGATGAGAACCCGCTGTGTATAGCAATGTAACTGCCTTGTTAAGGTCCGCCATGAGATCATCTATCACAACCAAATTGGTCACATTTCCATCGAAGTAATCGGGCTTCATCAAGTCATCGCAAAGTCCCATAACAAACTCGATATGAGGCTGTTTTCTCTTTATTTCTGCATACAAAGGCTGCCATTGTTTGAAGAACCATACTATTCTTTGTGGTGGTGGATTGATTAATTGTTCGGCTCTATCAATAAGGTCGACAACATAGGTTGTCTTTCCACATCCAGTAGGACCTGCAACAATTTTAGTAAATGGATGCCTGAACTGTATAGGTGAGTCGAGATCGAAGTTAGTCTCATCTTTTTTGTGAATGTTTCTCATATGTCTCAGAAGAATATCCTTCCTGGCAAATGTGCCAGAACACACTGAGCAAATATAATCCATGTTGTCATGTAGATGAGGTTGCGCTGAATGAATGAATCAAGCCTGCTTTTCACTTATATAGTTTTAATACATCCCTCTGTTGAATAAAATATGATAAAGGCACAAAAGGTGGCGGCGGCGGCGGTGGCGGCGGCGGCGGTGGCGGCGGCGGCGGTGGCGGCGGCGGTGGCGGCGGCGGCGGCGGTGGCGGCGGCGGTGGTGGGGTCGAAGAGTGCAATAATCTGATCTGATTGATTGAAATGGTTCTGCGGCTCATTTGCATATACACTTTGATTTGTCGAAAATGTTCTGCTGTAAAACTGTTAACGTTAGCACTTTTTATTTATCTTGTAGGGGTTTATATTTTTATCAGTGGCATGTTAAATTAACAGATGCCTATTAAAGCGTGTTATTTTGTATAGTGGGTGGGTGTCTATTTTGTGAAAATGCCTTAAACTCCAAAAATTAGCAGAAATCGATCAACAGTGACTGAAATAGCCCAAACGTGACACTTTAAAAAATACTTTAAAATGACCCAGGAGTAAGAATCAAGTGACCGTTTGGTGAAAAAATATCTCAAACTCCAGAAATCATCCAAAATCACTCAAGCGTGAAGATTGGAAAAATGCTTTAAATTGACTCTTGGTTAAAAAACTTCAATACCTGTCTGAACTGGTTAAATTGTACAAATATTCTCCTATTGGTCGATTTTCTTATATCTGATTGGATGAAAATATACTGTACCACGATTGGTTAACATAGTCCAAGCATATTATCCCTTATTGGTTAAAATGATCGCATCTCAAAACCTGATTGGTTGAAACATACTGTACTGGGATCGGTTAACATAATTCTGCAAGTTGAAACCCGTCTGGTTAAAATGGTTCTGCAGTTATCTTTTTTACTGTTTCATCAGTTTGTTATCCACCTTTGACCTATAACCATGAAACATCCATGAAGTAGACAAGATAACTTATCACATAGTCACCAGGTTACCTTAACAGTGTTTGTTTGATTATCTTATCAATTGAGCTCTCTCTTATCAATTATCAGTAACCTTTGACCAGTTATATCAGAAACCATGGTAGTTATCTTTTTCACTGTCTTATCAGTTTATTATCTCTCTCTTATCAATTATCAGAAACCTTTGACCAGTTATATCAGTAACCATGTGACCTATGACGTCACTTCCACTTCCGGTGCATCATCTTACCACGTGATCTATGACGTCACTTCCGGTGCACGTGACCTATGACGTCACTTCCGGTGGTAGTGGCATGTGCAGGTGCAGGTTGGCGGTGGTGGTGGCGGCGGTGGTGGCGGCGGTGGTGGCGGCGGCGGTGGTGGCGGCGGCGGTGGTGGCGGCGGCGGTGGTGGCGGTGGTGGTGGCGGCGGTTGTGGCGGCGGTGGTGGCGGCGGCGGTGGTGGCGGTGGTGGTGGCGGCGGTGGTGGTGGCGGCGGCGGTTGTGGCGGCGGTGGTGGCGGCGGCGGTTGTGGGGTCAAAGAGTGCAATAATCTGATCTGATTGATTGAAATGGTTCAGCAGCTCATTTGCATATACACTTTGATTGGTCGAAAATGTTCTGCTGTAAAACTGTTAATGTTAGCATTTTTTTATTTATTTATCTAGTAGGGGTTTATATTTTTATCAGTGGCATGTTAAATTAACAGATGCCTATTAAAGCGTGTTATTTTGTATAGTGGGTGGGTGTCTATTTTGTGAAAATGCCTTAAACTCCAAAAATTAGCAGAAATCGATCAAGCGTAACCGAAATCACTCAACCATGACGACTGAAAAAATACTCTTAAATGACTTAGGAGTAAGAATCAAGTGATCATTTGGTGAAAGAATGCCTCAAACTCCAGAAATCACCCAAAATCACTCAAGCGTGAAGATTGTAAAAATGCTCTAAAATTACTCGGGAGTAAGAATACAGTGTCCATTTGTTGATAAAATACCTCAAACTCCAGAAATCATCCAAAATCACTCAAGCGTGAAGATTGAAAAAATACTCTAAAATGACCCGGGAGTAAGAATCAAGTGATCGTTTGGTGAAAAAAGTAAGCAGAAATTGATCAACAGTGACAATTTAAAAAATATTCTTAAATAACTCAAGATACCCAAAAATATCTATAATTTTACTTTATATTTATTTAGATTGAGAACAGAAGTGGACTAAGATTGCATGGTTCCAATACATCTTTAACAAGAATAGAAGTAAGAAAATTATTAATATACTTCATAAAATACAATTGTAACATATTTTATTTTAAATAACATTCCCAATATGTATTGATTTGTTACATTCTTAAAATTTATTCAATGAAAACAATAAAAATTAAAAGTATACAAGCTTTTTCAGAAAAATGATGACTTAATTTAAAATATGGCTGTAAGATATTTTACAGGGTAATCCACAAAACTAACTTTAAGGGATTTCTTCCAGACTTATTTTTCATTTATTTATTTATTTATTTAGAATGGAGTCACAGATGGTCCAAGTACCAGTTGCGGTGGACAATATGTTACCAGGGCAGAAGTAAGAAAAATATTTATTTACTTCATAAAACATGAATGTTAAATATTTTGTTTTAAATAATAATAATATTCTAAATATGTATTGATTTGTTAGAATCTTAACATTTATTCGTTTGGTTTTAGGTCTCAAGCATGTTGTCAAAGGAAAGAGCTATACTTCAACAACAGTATAGAAAGGTATATTATTGAATTATTTATAGAATTAAGCTCAGTATAAAATACTTTTATTCAAAATGAAAGTATAACACCTTTTTCATGTGAATAGAAAGTCTTCAATTATTTGTTTTAGATCCAAAAGATACTCAAGGTGATTGAGAGAAATAACAAAATCAGACAAAGACATACAATGAGAAGGGTACATTCTTGGTTAAAAAACTTCAATACCTGTCTGAACTGGTTAAATTGTACAAATATTCTCCTATTGGTCGATTTTCTTATATCTGATTGGATGAAAATATACTGTACCACGATTGGTTAACAAAGTCCAAGCATATTATCCCTTATTGGTTAAAATGATCGCATCTCAAAACCTGATTGGTTGAAACATACTGTACTGGGATCGGTTAACATAATTCTGCAAGTTGAAACCCGTCTGGTTAAAATGGTTCTGCAGTTATCTTTTTTACTGTTTCATCAGTTTGTTATCCACCTTTGACCTATAACCATGAAACATCCATGAAGTAGACAAGATAACTTATCACATAGTCACCAGGTTACCTTAACAGTGTTTGTTTGATTATCTTATCAATTGAGCTCTCTCTTATCAATTATCAGTAACCTTTGACCAGTTATATCAGAAACCATGGTAGTTATCTTTTTCACTGTCTTATCAGTTTATTATCTCTCTCTTATCAATTATCAGAAACCTTTGACCAGTTATATCAGTAACCATGTGACCTATGACGTCACTTCCACTTCCGGTGCATCATCTTACCACGTGATCTATGACGTCACTTCCGGTGCACGTGACCTATGACGTCACTTCCGGTGGTAGTGGCATGTGCAGGTGCAATGGTTCAGCAGCTCATTTGCATATACACTTTGATTGGTCGAAAATGTTCTGCTGTAAAACTGTTAATGTTAGCATTTTTTTATTTATTTATCTAGTAGGGGTTTATATTTTTATCAGTGGCATGTTAAATTAACAGATGCCTATTAAAGCGTGTTATTTTGTATAGTGGGTGGGTGTCTATTTTGTGAAAATGCCTTAAACTCCAAAAATTAGCAGAAATCGATCAAGCGTAACCGAAATCACTCAACCATGACGACTGAAAAATACTCTTAAATGACTTAGGAGTAAGAATCAAGTGATCATTTGGTGAAAGAATGCCTCAAACTCCAGAAATCACCCAAAATCACTCAAGCGTGAAGATTGTAAAAATGCTCTAAAATTACTCGGGAGTAAGAATACAGTGTCCATTTGTTGATAAAATACCTCAAACTCCAGAAATCATCCAAAATCACTCAAGCGTGAAGATTGAAAAAATACTCTAAAATGACCCGGGAGTAAGAATCAAGTGATCGTTTGGTGAAAAAAGTAAGCAGAAATTGATCAACAGTGACAATTTAAAAAATATTCTTAAATAACTCAAGATACCCAAAAATATCTATAATTTTGGAACGTGGAACAGTAAGTACCGGTGCCGGTAGGGGGTCGAAAGGCCCGCCGTATACTACTCTCCCACTATACTTCTGAAACTGTGAAAGTGAATTATTCATTCGAAAAACAAACGGCAAAAAATTGACAAAAATTATACAAGTACTAAACAATATCATTTAATATATTATCAATAATATTAATGCATTGCTACAATTTGTACCTCTTGTATCCCCCCAACCAGTTAGGAAGCATTCATCTTGAGTTGTGAACTCCTCGCCTTCTAGGGGAAGACATACTGGCTGTATATATCGGTTGAACGGAACCGGTAGATCAAGTTTTAACAGCGCTATATCATAAGGAAACCCTGGGCCCTCTTGATCATAGAGATGGTGCTGTAAAATATAACTTATCAAGAACTTATGTCACCACCACAAGTGGTGATATTTTGTTATAGTTTCCAACTTTTTGTGGACTGTGTTCGACGATAATTGGTGTTACGGCTGGTGTTCGGTGTCTGTAAAAAATGGCAGGTGGTGCCATTTTGCATGTGAACGCCTTTTTAATAGAATAACTTCAGCTATCAAGTCGTGCAAAATTGGTTCTTAAATTGAGCTAGCTTCCGAAATGCCACTACTAGATAATGTATAAAGGTTGTATGGGGCTACTTACTACAACTTGGGACGACAAAATTACAATATACACTGTACTTACTGGAATCATTTGCTCAAGATGAGCAGAATACTCGTTTGCATTGTAGTCAAATTGATAGTGGGTACCAAGAACCACACGGTATGTAGCTACATTGTCATATATGCTAAAAAATAAGGGGCATTCTATTCAATATGCGTTTCCATGGAACTTTTTCCCATTGAAAATTGTGTCATTTTAAGCAAGCTTACACAAGTGAGCACATTGAGGTTGTTCTTTGTTAGATGATGATATTAAATAGCACATGGTCTTTGAGCAAAAGCTTTCTAAAATTGGAATGGCTGGTCAGCTGTGTATACGCAGTCATTTTTGACCGTTATGAACATGAACGCTTTTCAGTTTAGGACCAGAGTTATCCTAACACTTATCTTTCAAGAGTTATCCTAATTATTCTTTCAGTTCTAGATATTTTGTCTCTATTGGTTTCATCATGGACTTTCGAGAGAGAATTAGCGACAGGCAAAATGTCAAAGTAACAAATATCGTGTGGTGGAGGGAATAATCAAGGTATCCAAGTGAAAATGACCACCTACGAGTTGATGCAATGTGCGGCGGTTAGGACCCATCGATCTGAAATAAGTACAGCTCCACAGTTGTGTGTAGCACCATTGGCCGTACGTAGAGAAGCTTGCCATGGCCAGCTATGTGGTGTTGCTTCTCTCCCATTGGTTATCTGACTGCTTTCTACCTGTCGTCGACCACAATCTATTTTCAAACAATAATAGGGTATCAACATGATCATCAGTAATTGAGAGTTAAATCTGAGTAATACTATTTTAAACAGATCGAACTGGCATGCGAAATAAATGGACTTAAAAAAATTAGAAAAAATAGTAATATTGTACGCCATCAATATATGACACACCCGGGATGACATACCTCCATATAATGGTTGTGTGGTGTTCGTAGGTGATAGCGTAGACCCTGCTGACTGTGAGACTACAGGAAGAGTGGTGGGCTCAGTTGTGGATGGCACCGGGGGTTGTGTAGGGGGCCGGTTTGACACACAGCATTGTATCGCCCAATATCCATCACATTCAAAACTGGTGTCGAACTCGCCATCTTCGCACGTCTCTACTGTCGAATCTTTACAAGTATGGCCTTCCAATTCACAATCTGTAAAACATAATCAACCCCTTCTGTCAATGAAACCATTATCCTATAACTAGTTTCTTATTTATAGTCATATTACGAGGATCATATTTAGTAAAAATATTACGTCAGGATGAGAACTTACCTAAATCTTGTGAAATCGTTCCAGTCGAAGACAGAAGAAGGCAGGAAAGAAACAAAATGACTTTCATGATAGCGATTAACCCTAGTTTGAAACTAGACCTATGTATTCACATCTAGTAAGACCTTTTGGATTTTGAAGAGTTGTTACTGATGTTGAAGGAGTTTAAAACATACATCGTTATCTGTGTTTCGAAACAATCGCTATGTGTCAAGATTAAAGAGGTTTGTAGAAAGTTGAAGACCCGTTCAACCTGTAAAAGGCAAATTTTAAGTGTTCCCGAATAAAATAAAATGAATCGAATTCTTCCTAAACTAATGAATTATCTGTGAGTCGGCGATCAAGCAGCGAGTCTTTTCTAGATAAACGCGAATGGCACGAGATTCTCGATCGCAAGTCTCTTCAGTTTCAACACAACCATGCTGGTACCGATTCTTGTCTTTCCACTACTGCCCTTGGTGGGTGATCGTTACCATACTGTATGACTCCCGACGCCTCCTATAGCACGCAAGGAGGAACCAGCCTATTCGGTCTCACAATTTAAAAAATAAATTAATAACAACGAATCGGGGATACATATTTGAACGAGGTTCGCGTTACGGTCCATCGATTTTTTGCGTAACCGCAAATTCAATATACATTATTATGGCTTGAGTAGAACATATTAGGTGGTTTCCAATGCTCAATTGGCTTTTTATGATCGTGTGTAGGTTACATCTATATACCCCGATGTCGTTAGGCAATGTAGACCATGCCGATTACACAAAAGTAAACAAATTACTAAATTTTGTGTTGTTTTGAATTTAATACTCAACAGTTTTTCGCTTATTTCGTGTTATCCCCGGGCATCAACGTACACATCATCTCTTGATTTGCAATGTAAGGGCATTCTGAATGATTTACGGTTAATTGGTGTAAATAATTTGGAAAACTGCCAAATTGATAGTTATATCTTGAAACTGGTAAATGGCCTGATTGAATGCTCTAATGCACATATCCCCATTAAGAAGTTCTCAAAGCATGTAAAGCCATTCTGGAATGATGAATTAACCAGATTAGTAAAGTTAAAGAAGAAAAGATGGCGTGAGTGGGTGTCGGCTGGTCGACCTCGAAATGCGGATAATGTAATTAGGGCCCAATATAAATCTGCCAAATGTGCTTTTAGAAAATGTTTAAGATGTAGTGAGTTTATGTATGAACAAAATGAGCTTAATCGTCTATACAGGTCAGAATCACTTGATCAGCGTTACTATTGGCATCTTCTCAATAAGAGCCGAAATAAGGCTTCTAGGCGTCTGTCTCCAATTAAATCTGATAATGACGTCATCGTAAGTGACGAGGCTGGAATAAGGGATGAATGGCGCACTCACTTTGCTCGTTTGGCAACCCCTTCTGATAAGCCTCATTTTCACAGCCATGCCAAGTGTGAAATTGAAAATGAAATTATGCATATTAAGCAAACATCATATTTTGAAGATAATACTTTCTTTGATGAACCATTTCAGGATAGTGAAGTGAGTAATGCCATATCACGGTTGCATAATAATCGTGCATGTGGATCGGATACGATATGTGCCGAACATTTAAAATATAGCAATGACACTGTAATTTCGATCATATGTACCCTTTTTAATGCAACCATGTTAAACGAATACACTCCCATGAATTTTAGGTTTGGTATACTGATACCTATACTAAAGGCAGGAAATAAAGATCCTTGTAATAAAGACAATTCCAGAGGCATCACTCTGATGAACATGTTGCGTAAAGTGTACGATCATATTGTGTTAAAAAGAATTGGATCCCTTGCAAAAAATATTATGCCTAACTTACAAGGTGCTTCTCAGAGTCATTGCTCTGCTGTTCATACTTCCCTTTTAGTTCAGGAAACCATTGCCCACAATGTCGAAAAGCATAGAAATGTAATATTAGCCACATTAGATATTAGAAAAGCATTTGACACCGTTTGGTTAGATGGATTGATGGTCAGGCAAACTGTGGCGTATGCTTTATGATAATTACCATAAATATGAATGTGCCGTTCGTGTAGGAAGTTCAAATACACTTTCTAAACCTTTTAATGTCATGCAGGGCGTCCACCAAGGGGGTGTCCTATCTATGCTATTTTATCAGTTGTACATGGCTGACCTTATTCAGGATCTATGTGAAATGAATATAGGTGGCCACATTGATGATGTAAATTGTGTATGTCCTTCTTATGCGGACGACATGACCATTATTGCCACAAATCAAAAGGATATGCAACTTATGTTAAACACTGCCTTTGAACATAGTAGAAGATGGCGATATGAAATCCATCCAGCGAAATGTAACTTTCTGACATTTAATGATATGGTCACTGATTCAAGTGTTAAAGGTCATGTCGTCCTCAAGATAGGTGACACGAGAATTCCAAAGGTCAATTTCACTGTTCATGTTGGTATTCCAATATCTAGTAAAAATGATATCTCACAATATGTTAATGATCGCTGCACTAGTGGTAAGCGAAAATTCTGCTCACTTTTGGGACTGGGGCACAAAACAGGTGGTTTGTCACCCTTAACAGCATCAAAACTGTACTGGGCCTTTTCTATTCCAACCATGCTGTTTGGGGCACCAGTTATAAATTACCAAGCCCTCAGATGTTGAAAAGCTTGAATTGACTCATAGGGAGATTGGCAAACGTATCCAATTTTTCCCAAAAACCTCAGCCAATCCTAGTGCAACGATGCCGTTGGGATGGTTGTCAATAGACGGCTATATTACAGTGTTGCAGATGATGTATCTCTGGAGTTTACTTAGGTTTAATAATATTTACAGGGATATAACTATAACACGGTTAGTAAAGATGTTTCATGTCACTTATGACAACCATGCCGATATTTTCTCTCCTCTCCGGCGCATTTTCCTTAAGACCAAAATGCTAGGAATTGAAAATCTGGTTAAAATGTAAAATGCGCTGGACTCTGGATATCTTCCGTCGAAGAGGTCATGGAGACTGCAAATTGTCAATGCTGTAAGATCCGTCGAGGTCAAGCAATTTTTCTTGCAATGCTCATGTTATGGCAAACTTTTATACCTACGTGACTATGTCACAGACTTAAAACCTTGCATATGGTGGTTGATTTGTCAGAAATATCCTAAATGTCAAAGCCAGTGTAAAACTATGATGCAATTGATATGTAACGCCCATGTATTAAATACGAACAACTTCAATGGTTCAAAACGATGTATATTGTGTATCCTCTGTGAAACTGAAACAATTGAACATTTTATATTAAGATGCCCTATGTATGAACCATATAGGCATAACATATTTGAAGCCCTTGGCTGTCGTGGTGACAGTATGGGTGTTATTATGAAGAAAGTTTTAGGTCTCTCAGATGTTTCATGTGAGACGTTAATAATTGTTTCATCATGTGTACACAAAATGTACAATCACAGAGCCAACCTGTTGGCTCTGCTTGACACATAATTTCTCTATCACTTTATTTTTATGTTTTCCAAAACAACAACTTTTTTATCACATAATTTAATCTTATCCTTGTATTTTATATTTTATATGTAAACCATATGTATACTAAAATGTATTCTCTCATATAAATGAGGCAATAAATATACAATACAATACAATACTACGTTCAAAATATACATTACTAAATGCATCACTGAATGCGATGCTTACATAAATCGTTCATCCTTTCATTGATACACAGTAGTAGAAAATAATGCACCAACCTTTGTTTTCTGTTCCATAGCGGCCATTTTATTCGATAAAACAGTGAACGTAGCCGTCCAACCTCGTTTTTCAGAGGTGGCGTAACCGTCATGCTATAGCAGGGTGATGATTAAAGAGTTGGAGCGACAATTACGTCCGCCATTTGTGACAACGGTATCTTACACCATTTTCAGGGTGTTCTGGTGTGGTAATATTCTTCCATTACCAGTCATTTGAACAACAAAGACAACAAATAATTCACTCTCATTACCACTGTTTAAGGTCATATTTAATTGCTTAAATTGATTTTTCTATTTTGAATACATTATCTCGACTTTTAATTTGTAGCATTTACAATTTTGTAATGTTACAATGACACTGTAATGTCGCAATATTGACTAAAGTTAAAAATAAGTTTTAGTCCTAGTTCTAGTCATAGTATTATGCAAGCTGTCGATTGTTTTGGCACAAGCTTCTTTAGCATCATATTGACAAATCTCATTTAAGAAGTATATAATTACTTTCCTAAAAGCTGTTTGAGAGCATTCCTGTCTGTTTTGGCACTAGCCTCTTTGAGCGGCATTTCGTCAAGTTTGACAAATCTCTCTGGAATCATGTATGGTGTAAGGGAAGCCTCGCACGCTTTTCTGATATCGTTCGCCTCTGCTGATTTCCCGGGCCGACATGAGTAGAATCCAACGAGGTATACGTCCGTTTCTGACCTCTTGACGGGTAAAACAGCAACTTTTTCAATAAAATCAAGCTTGTTAATGGCAGTTTCTATCTCGCTTATGTTTACTCGGTAACCTCGTATTTTTACCATCTGATCCCTCCGACCACAGTACACCAGTCGCCCGTTCTTGATCTTTGCAAAGTCGCCAGTTTTGAAAAGGGTTTCGTGACCACTCTGTTTTCTTAGCGTGTTTGGCACAAATGAAAAGGCATTCTCTTTGTCCATATACCCGGGAGAGACGCAAACGCCGCTGATACAGAGCTCCCCCACTTCACCATGTGACACTGCTTCTCCCTTTTCATTGACAATATAGGCAATGGTGTTATGCAGAGGGACTCCAATGCTGACGCCTTCATCAAACACTCCTTCGGCGATATCTTTCTTTCCTCTAAACTCCATCCAAGTAGCATCATTACTAGTCTCTGTCAAGCCCCAGCTATCAACAAGAACAACTCCCTCGTTGAAGTAATCGTAAAAATCGTGAACAATCTGAGTGGGGACAGCCTCTCCGCCTACATTAGCAAATCTTAATGTCTGTATTTTCGGATCATCAAACATCTGAACGAACTGCAGAATAACGTCCAATAAGGAAGGTGCAATAAAAGGAATGACAGAAACGTTTTCTCTGTCCAAGAGCTCTATCAATTCTTCGGGGTCTTGCTTAATTGACTTAGGAACGATAACCACTGGGAGACCTTGTAAAAGAGGGCAGAATATATCCGTTGCGTGCGGAATAAACATGAGCGAAGTCATTGCTGATGTTACGTCGCCTTCTTTTAAGTTAACAACATCCCAAATGTAATTAAAGTTGTTGAGCAATGAGGCGTGGCTGATGCGCACCCCCTTTGGGGAGCCTGTTGAACCACTAGTGTAGATCACAATACACATTCCAAGCTTCTCGTCAAACCCTGGAAGGCCATCGATATCTGGAATGTTGTCTTCGGAAAGGTTAGCACTCTGTGCATAATTGAGCAAATCGGACAGTGAAAGCACCAATGTGTCATCCCCGAGATTAGCCGCTTTTAGGTATTCAATGTTGTCTTCAGTTGCTACAATGGCGGCAACACCGGCTTGATCGATGATATACTTAATACGATCTGGAGGAAGGATTTTGTCCATTACGGTGTAGGCAGCACCAAGTTTTAACACGGACAATGCACTCATTACTGCGGTATCGGATTCAGACATAAACAAAGCCACAATGTGCTGTTTGTCGCCGGAAAAATCAACCTTCTTGTTGTTGACGAGTTGGAATTTAAGCGCACGAGCCAATGAATTTGCCTTGCCATTCAATTGTCCAAACGTTGTCACTCTGTCACCAAATCTAAAGAATCAAGCATATATGGATTAGTCAATGACCTTTTCCCCCATTGATTCTAACAACGACTCAACGGTTTTTGTTCGTTGTTGGGAATCGTTTGCCTTATAATATACGCATGGCGAATTAGTACTACGGCCAAGGCCATTTGTGTCCAAAACACCTAGATTCAATTTGACTTTAGATTCTTGTAGGGGACCCCAAGGCATGTAAAAAAAAGTTTGTGAACCCTTGCAAAGCAGGCTCAAAAGTGCTGAGTCAGCAAATTTTATCATTTTCGAGTCGGAGTTTGACCATATGCTTGAAACTATTTAATATCTCATTTGAGGATGTTGCTATTATAATGAAACATTGTTAATATATCAATAAGGCATGTATGAAGAATTCCTGAAAGTTTGGGTCTTATCCAACAAGATTTGGTAGAGATATGGGATAGTTTGTCCCTAAAAGTACATAATTTCTCTTCAAAATTTCTTAATCAGTCGATAGTTAATCAGTCATTTAAAAAACAGTAAGGGCCTATGGTGTATAAAATCCTGATTAAAAACTTCACTGATGATGTTAGCAAATATTTCTTGCAAAAGTTTCAATAAAAAGTGCATCCATCTATTTTTCTGATTTTTCTCTTTACCTTCCCCTAAAAATTCAAGAAAGGGGGCGTGGCACCTTACACTTCAGTTGTGGAACTTGTTGCTAGGGTCAAATAGAAAATGTGTATCATTATAGCAGAATTTGTTATTCTAAGTAAATCTAAACACTATATGTTATATCATAATATGCTTAACATTTTCATTATCTACCATTTTATATTTTTTACAGCTTATCATTGCCATACCCCATAAAACTGTTTAGGGTATGTGTGGTCAGCAATAGGAAATACATGTATGTGTAATAACATTTTCAAAATTGTATTTCAGGTGTCATTCTTTCCTAATGTTGTTCATGTAGTTATGGTTTATGTTTATGAATGATAACACTTCCCATCATAAGTTTGGCAACTCAAACCCCTTTGAATTGTTACACGGAATATGGCATACATTCCTGGTTGCGTGGTATTTGTGATACGGGTGAATATTCCATACTGATCTGTGGTATGTGGCATATTCCACAGGTGAGTAAGCCATATTCCGCAGTAAATATGCAATACATCGATTTCAGTGAATACCCGATACTCACCTGCGGAATATGTCATACTCACTTTCGGAATATGCCATATACCGCAGGTGAATATGACATATACCACAGGTGAAAACGTGATACAGAAAGCCTTGGTTTGATTGGTTGTGAGAATCGACTCTAAATGTTAAACTACGCTGGAAATCAATAAAGTTAGTGCGTCAAGTAGTAATATATGAATCCTGGATTGATTGAGTAAGTTTATTACGTGAGACTGGTAAGTGATACTTCTGCATAAGTTTATATATTCGATACACTGTACTGTTGATTCTGTAATCATTATATAATAATTATTTATAAAGTTTTACTTGTTCGTTCAATAGGTGCAATTGACAACTGCCTACTTCTGTATCACATTCTCATTGGTTAGTGTGTATGCCATATACCGCAGGTGAATCTGTCATACACCGCAAGTGAATATGCCATATTCATTGCGGAATATGGCATATATTTGTATCATGTTTATCGCGTAACATGAATCACTTATTAAAGTCTTTCTATTTTTGGCATATGAAATCGAAGTATCTGAAATATGGTAACAAAGAACATAATCAAGGTTTAAAAATTGGCAGACTTTCATATGCTATCATATAATAACTTCCAGTTGCCAAACTTATGGAGGGGGTGTACATGGTTTATAGTATAGGGTCCATGTAAACTGGAACGAGACTCCTGTTGTTGCTGCAAATAATTAGCTATGACGTGTCGCAAAAAGGTGGCGCATTTGTTTTTTAAGGGTATCGCGTGAATGTAACTTTGATTCCCCGGATTATAAGATAATATTCTAATTAAAGTTATATATCATTTAAAGCTGTTTCGATGAAGATTTTAGATCAACTACACTCCGTTCACATTTTTTGCGCGTTCGTTTTTAAAAAAGAGTTTTTTACCAAAACATCTGGCAAATATCCCATGTTGACACGTTACATTTTGAATTATGTGTCGTCTTTAAACGCTCATAACTCAAACAATATATGACTATTATACTTATTTTTCGTCTTGATAAAGGTAGATGGAAGTTTTATTTCAAAGGATGAATTTTAGTAAGCGTCCCATATTGTGACGTCATAGAGTCTGAAAAATAGAATCTGTTGACAGCGACCTTTTTTGCTCATTTTTTGGTACCTTCAACTTTTCAGGTGTACATTAAACAAAAAATACGAGATCAATTTTTAATAAATCATACATGATTATTTTGCTCCTAAACTCTAGTTTATTAATAAATAGTTGATTTTGTTCACAAAAGTATGTGTTTTCTGTTGTATGTGGAAAAGTGGAGGACGAAAGGTTTTCAAAATTCATTAAAATAGGGCTTATTTACGCCATTCGCCTATTTTCAAGCACAGCAACACGTATATTTATTTCACCTAAAATATCAATTGATTCGTGTTTTATGATGCTCCTAGCCCATTAACAATATACATATGATATCAGAGTTATTCGTCTAAAATGTTTTGAGATATAGAGGTAAATGTGGAGGACGAAAGGATTTTCATGTGTGTACATTTTTCTCAAAAACGTCACATTCTATCATGTTAAAAGCGAGGATCCTCTGGATTACGCCACAAAATGTGTAACAATGCGTGCGCGAGCTTTTTGCGACACGTCTATATAATAACAAATTGTAACAACAAATGATTAAGAGCCAGAGTTACTCCGAGCCTGATTGCAGTTTGCACACTTCGTATTGTATATATGTCATAAATTGTTTATTTGTTGTATGTAGAACAGATGACGTATGTTTTGTTTATGTCAAAATAATAGACCTTGTCCATAGGCGTAGCCTGGGATGGGATCGCACCCCCCCCTATAACCATGAGATAGAAGAAAAGATTTTTAAAATGCTCTTTATTTTAAGCTTCTAGCCCTATTTTTGAACCAAGATTTGTATAATTCAAGATAGATCTTAATTTTTGGCTTGGCACACATTCTTTTTGACATTTGGTATGTCAATGGACCCAAATCTTAGGATGTGGTATGAGGATGCCCCCTCATTATGACTTTTGAGGGATGGATATTGTCAGATTTTCAACTTTCTGGTATGAGAATGGTCATGGAAAATATGGTATGGAATTGGTCTAGTAGTTACACATATCCTAATATGAGGTTGTTTTGGTTCGTTTTCCTCAAAGATCGCCTTCTTCTTGGGACCTTCTTCAGTTTAAATAAATAGGGTTTTCCCAGAAAATATTCTACTTTGGACCAGTCATGGCATTGGTCCTATATTCTGACATTTGGTATGGTATTGGTATGGCTTTTGGGCACTATTTCAGTTGGTATGGGAACACATCCAAATTTGACATTTTGGTATGGGAATATATTGATATCTAAGGGTTCAACCTAGGACCCCGCCAAATTTTGTACACAGTGAACCCCCCAGGATTGAAGCAGACAAGTAGCAAACAAGTGAAATCAGTCCAAATAATCACGCACTTACAAAGTTTTGACAATTTTTTCTTTTTGACGTTTTGATGAATATAAACAAAGGAAGTTACTTAGCTAAAGTCTGACATACACCAATACGACATGGTGGGACCTCCATTGATTTAACATTGGGTGGGACCTCATGGAAATTCTTGGACTTCATTGAGATTTGCCCGATGGATTTCCTTGGGATTCCTTGGGACTTTGCCCCATGAAGCCCCATTGAGTCCCATGAGATTCGATGAGGTATCATTTGACAAAGTCCCACGAAGCCCCATTGAGAATGAACCTGTTCATTCTCTTTCCATTTGGGCATCGTGGGACTTTTGATCATGGGATGTGTCAGCTAACTTGGGATCAAAATGACTGAGACAAAACCTTCTAAACTAAATTACATAATTTCCGTGGGATTCAATGGGACATGGAGGGACTCAATGAGACTCCATGGGACAAAGTTAATATGGTCCCATGGAACATTGTGGGACTCGATATGGCATGGTGGGACTTGAAGGGGCGAGTGGGATTCTGCGCCATTGGAATATGTTGGCTTTGGACCAAACTCACTTAATGTCACATCACATCATATAAGTAATATCAACAAACCCAGTGCCACGGAATTGATCACTTGGAGAGAATGTAAAGCATTATTATTTCCTTTGGCTTTAGGTTTCTACAATTTATGACACATATTATACAGAGCATATACACCCCCTCCATAAGGTTGGCAACTGCAAGTTTTCATATGATGACATATCAACGTCTGTCAATGTTGGAACCTCGATTTTGTTCCTTATTGCTTTATTTCAAAAGCTTGATGTCTTGTTTAAAATTGCCAAACAGCATGACAAGCTTTGATAAGTGATTCAAAGGGGGAATTCCAGTTACAAAACTTATGATGGGCAGTGTAATTTAACAATTCATTCTTAACATACCATGACTACATAAACAACATTAGGATAGAATGGCATCTGAAATACAATTTTGAACTTGAATGTTATTAGTACACATACATGTATTTCCTATTGCTGACCACACATACCCTAAACGGTTCTATGGGGTATGGCAATGACAAGTTGTAATAAAAAATATAAGATGTTAGATAATGAATATATTTAGCATTTTATGATGTCACATGTAGTGTTAAGATTTATTTAGAATAACAAATTTTGCTATAACGATACGCATTTTCTATTTGACCCTACCAACAAGTTCAACGACTGAAGCGTAATGTGCCACGCCCCCTTTCTTGAATTTTTAGGGGAAGGTAAAGAGAAAAATCAGAAAAAATAGATGCTTGTACTTTTTATTGAAACTTATGCAAGGAATATTTGCTAACATCATCAGTGAAGTTTTTAATCAGGTTTAATACACCATAGGCCCTTACTGTTTTTTTAAATGACTGATTATCTCTACCAAATTCTGTTGGATAAGACCCAAACATTTTAAGGAATTCTTCATACATGCCTTACTGATATATTAACAATGTTTCATTATAATTGCAACAACCTCAAATGAGATATTAAACAGTTTCAAGCATATGGTCAAACTCCAACTCGAAAATGATAAAATTTGCTGACTCAGCACTTTTGAGCCTGCTTTGCAAGGGTTCACAAACAAGAATCCCCTACAAGAATCTAAAGTCAAATTGAATCTAGGTGTTTTGGACACAAATGGCCTTGGCCATAGCACTAAATTGTACTTTTCGGTTTTTGTATTGCAGAAGAAATACGTATGTAATAAGTTATAAAACCTGATTTTGTGAGTCAAAATGAGAAAATCTAGTACATAATATTTACTTTATTAAATGATAAGATAAAAAAGAGTATCTTAATGTAATTTTGTTTAGATATTGATGACGGCTCCTTCTTATCCCCAGAGCCAATTAAGTCATTCTGATTTATCAAAGTCTCTCTTTATCAAAGTTTCTCTTTATCTTAATAAAAGCTTGCGAGAGACACAGTCAGTCTATTCCAAGGGATAGTACTGGTTGTGGATCACACAATGACACGGTGACCAAGAGTTAACAGTGCAAATTGGCCCGGTGTAAAAGGGTAGGAGGTCCTATCAAATTATGGTCCTACTCTCCATTTATTTATATGGTGACCTAAATACAACTCTTTCTCTCACTATCATATACGCAATCAGTGCCAGTAAGGGCCGTTAAAAAAGGGGACCATAATCCCTGAGGGACCATCATTTCTTTCACACTGGTCGTGTTTTTTCAAACTCTTTAAACGTTATTCTTACCTTTTTGCTCCATTCTAACGAATATCGCATCCCATGTTCTTACAAAACACGTCTAAAGAGTTTGAGTTTGCACTGTTAACTCTTGGTCACCGTGAATGAGACGAAGCAGAGTGAAGTTCCATATTACCTTATAGCTACTTTTTCAGATATTGGACCAGACGCCCTTGATGACTTGACGATATCCTCGAAGGCATGGTGAATAGTCATATGTGGTATTTCTTTGGTATCACCTTCCATGATACTAAGAGACCTGTGTAGGCTATACTTTGTGCCATGGATGTTTTTCTTGTGGTCCTGTTCTGCCATGATTGTGGGTATGCTGAAATAAAATTGAACGTACGATAAATTATAAAAAAGATAACAGGAGAACAAGAGATTTGATAGACTGTGATTGGCTGATATGTAGAAATAAATTCAATTTACTTCCTTATTATCCCTTTGAACGAAGTTCGATTATAGTGAACCCCTTCGTCCTCTAGTTCATCCGTCCGTGCTTCCGAGCAATATTTCAAATAAGGATGTATGATTTTCGTACTAGTTGAGCGCAAAAACATATATACAAGGGGCGATCCATATATTCTTATAAAAATGCTCTCATTTTGTGGTTTTTTCACATATCCCTCTCATTTTTTCAGAACCTGAAGATTATGTAATTACACATACAATGCTAAAATATTATAGCTATATCTTAAATTATTGTTGAGATAAGGTTGCCATGGTAACCTGTATTTAGGGTAGGCAGGTCAGTTAAATTATAACGTATAAAATAGATAAGTTTGTTAATTTAATCATTCCTCGATACCTATTTCAAGCAGATCAAACGCATATCCAGGTCATTGCCAACTATTTGTTGAACTGCTTCATACCCCATGTTGCCCTTGTTTGCTATTTGCACTGTGGAAAAGTTCTTTTTTCATAAATTGCATCTCAAATTATCGTAGTGTTATTCTCTGTCCGCAAGCTCTTCGTCCAACCAGATTGGGAATGATATTCAACAGTGAATAGCCTTCCTCAAATTTACAATACTACCTAGAGATCCTTAGAGCAGATACAACACTTTGTCCATACATTATACGAGTCCATGTATGATCTCTGGCAGTGTCCTCTTACTTATTCTTGATAGTACATAAAATCTAATGGTATTCCTGATGTATCTGTTAATGTCACACTCTGCAACAGCCGCACTAACCTCATCTGATCTGTCATTTTGATATTTGGTGTGTCTATATGACATGTACTTCCACTAATTTGCCCATCCTGTCATACATTGCTATTGTGAGTTGTTGTGATGTTATAGTGATCACAAATAAACATTTGTTTAGCAACAAACAACGAGAAACAATGGCAAACAAATGTATGATTTCCGCATGCTTTTGATTAAAATAACAAGTTATTATGATATTTTATACGTTATAATTTAATTGACCTGTCTACCATTAATACAGGTTACCATGGTAACCATATCTCTTAATTAATTTAAGATGTAGCTATAATATTTGAGTATTGTACGTGTAATTACATAATCTACATTTTCTGAAATGAGATGGATATGTGAAAAATAGCAAAATGAGAGCATTTTTATCAGAATATATTGATCGCCCCTTGTATAAATGGTCTCCGAAAATTAAGAGAATCTTTGCAAAAATTCTAACTTTAAATTCTAGCTAATATTCATTTCGGTAGTATTTTCGAGAAGATCGCAATATTGATTATTATTTGAAATTTCGTCCTTTCCAAAATGAGTACCCAAAGGTGAGAATTTGTGGAAGATTTAGATAACTACAAAGGTTTATTACATGCACGTCTGATGTGTATTTAGATATATTTTAAGTTTATGAAAAATTGGTTCGTTGGGATTTGCTACTCCGTGGTGTTGCTTGCGTTCTGGATGGAGGTTGTGAGCCTCTATCTAGTCATTATATTGTACCTTTTCTCGATGGGCACCTCCTACACCGCCTACAACCACAAATCGATATGTCAATTTGCAGAATCAAATCATCAAGTCGAAATTAGAATCTCACATTTCCCTGTCTGTTAAGATCTTTCGTTCTTCCTTTTTGAAGGGCGTAATATGTAGTATACTATACATAAGCATTATTTTGTCAGTTGGTGTTTTATTGTTACTAAAAGGCTTACCTTCAGACTTGTCTGGAAATTGGATCCTTTTCAGTAGGCTTCGTCCTAAACGTTATAGCTAACTCCAGGGCACGAAAGTATAACACAGATACTTTAAACTACTTAAAGCAAACACACATATACAGGGCATATAAAAAACGAGTAGTTTATCAAGTCTAAAGTTCGATCTATTTTGAGATGGTATATGTACTCGGAGTAGCCCAGAACATTTCGGGTCATTTTTACCAATGCCGTAGATAACTCTTGAATATACAGGGTGAGCCAAAAAGGTAACCCAAACAAAATTTTAATTTAATATCTCCGTCATCCATTAGGGATTTGAAGTCATATTTGGCACAACTGAGCCGTGTTCAATGCTTTTCCATTCACTTTAGTTGAATTTAGGGTGACTTTAGAGTGACGTTTTCTGACTACATGCTCACAAATATCTTGTGTAAAAGCTCTCATTTCACATCTAATCTCTTGTTGCAACTTTCTAATGCTTCTAGAGTTGTTAATATACATAAGATCTTTGAAATAGCCACAAAGGTAGAATTCTCGGGGTTTATAGCCGATTTGGTGATTTTGGTATGTTTTGGCATTTGAAGTATATTCAATGGCCATAACATCGTGACCATTTGAAATGGACCAATGAAACTTAGTATAATGACGGTGCCAAATCTGACGCAAAACATATACTGGATGACTGAGTTACTAGTATGTAGTAAGATTTGTTTGGGTTACCTTTTTGGCTCAACCTGTATAAACGTTGTGAGGTACCTTTCATTGTTTTTCCAAAAGGTTACGCACATATAAGGACTTTTAAAATACTAGTATACGTGTTAAATGTCTTTAATACCAGGACTAAACTACCCGAGGAATTAGAGATAACGTGCCTTGACTTTTGAAAAGAGGAGGCAAATGGAAATGTTGAGAAAATATACCAATTCTTGAGAGATAGCACAATATTTTATATTTATGAACACGTATAGACTTAAATTGAGAAAAGGACCTTATACACCCTCCATTGGGATCTCCCCATGGGAAAAAAATAATTCATCTGATTTTTCAAAATGAGTATTCTGCTTCAATTATTACATTTATATGCACACTAGTATCTTGTTGACCTATATTCAGCACTGTATTGATGTATAGGCCACTTATTAGGGTCATAATTCAATCATGAAGTGTAGAAGCATAGATTCCAAACCAGGAAGTATTTTTGTGTCTGTCAAAATCCATTTACATCCTACGCATCCCTGCATCTTATCCCAATATGTTACTTCAAATTGAAATATAATAGTATAATCTTTGGTTTTACAAACTTGTATGATATTTGTTAAGTGTAAAAGTTGTTTTTGGAGCATTTTTCTATAGCCATTTTGTAGGGAAAAAAATGATGAAAAAATGTACAATCTTTTAATTTTAAGTATGACCTGAATCGATTGCAAACTTCATATTTGCACATTTGATGAGATAAACCATTTGTGTCGTATTGTGAAATTATTAAGTTTGCAATCGATTCAGGTCATAGTGTATTTTTGGTATTTCTGTGATAATCAATGGAAACCAATGGCCTCTATTGGGATCTGCTGATATCCTCATGTTAAGTCAATGGTGTACAGCCCCATGTAAGTCAATACAACCTTGCTGAACGAAATGATCCCTATCTCAGCTTATGTGTGTCCAAGCACTTTAATATTTTCCAAAGTATTATATGACATTTTATTCTTCATGTTACACCTACGAATGATTCATTTTGACCATAGGGATATTTGCCAATAATTGCACCTTGTCCTTTAGAACCATAGTGGAAACACAAAAAATTCAAATCTTACAAGTATGTAATTGACATATAGAGAATCTATATTAGAGTGTTAAGTAAACATACGATTGAGTTAATTTATTATCCTTCAATATATTAACTGGTTGTTAATTCTACCCAAGAACTAAAACACTTTTTTTATTTATCTCACATATTTGTCTTCTGGTAAAAGTACACTTTTACATGAAATTTTTTCTATAACAATCGTAATTGTTATTGCGGGCACATGTTGTACATCAACAACAGACTTTCTGTTGGATCAAATATATTGAAAAATGTATTTAATCATGATCAATATCAGTTAAACGAATAATCTTCAAATTGCCATCTATTTTGAAAAATCATCTGTATAGCACAGTTAGAGCGATTATATAAATATCATTTATTAATTCCTACATGTATATTGCCACCTATACAAGATATGCAGAGTAAATGTAGTACCAAACGAATTGTGTCAATCTGACACAGTCTTTATGTACATTTTTTATTCCTTTTTTCGACATGTACTTGTATGCCTAGTAATTGACACACTTGTATATCAAGTCATTGACACATGTGTATGCCTAGTTATTGACGCACGTGTATGCCTAGCTATTGACGCACTTGTATGCCTAGGGTTGTGACAGCGTGGTCCCATAAGTTCTTTCTATCAATCTTCCCTATTGTTGCAACAGGGAGACTGTCCACAAATATAAAATATTTCGGTGCCATACTCATGCCATCTGCTGTGCCTTCAGCAGCGAACACTTCGTCACACCAGCTCGTCATATCCTCAGCAGTGAGAGTGGCACCAGCTTTCACAACGATACAGGCACATATCTCCTCGTATAGCCTCTCGTCTGGGACACCGACCACACATACGCTTTCTACGCTAGGATGCGTCGCTATGACGGTCTCCAAGTACGAAGGGAGTATTGAGCGTGTGCCTCTTTTGATCATGTCTTTGCATCTACCAAGAATAAATAGTCTTCCATTGGTAGACATTTTACCTATATCTCCAGTGCGAAACCATCCTTCAGAATCTCGATACGGTCTACTGACCCAGTTTGGACCTCTTAAACAGACCTCACCCGATTCATTGATAGGGGTGATTTTATCATTACTGTCAATGATCTTGACCTCACAATGTGGTATAGGAAGACCAACGGTGACAGAACCATCTTGCATTAGATTTTCACCGGCGAAGATCGTTACTATAGGGCCAGATGTTTCTGTGTTACCATAGGCATTAAAGGCAGTTATATTTGGGTAAGCTGCTATCATATCAGCTACAAGATTACTCGGGACCATTTGTCCACTCACAAATATAGCTTTTAGATGACGAAGTTTGTATTCTGATTTTTCTCCAAAGTGAACAATATCATATAACAAATACGGCAATGTCATTGCATGGGTGACATCTTCACGATTCATCGTACCCAGGATAAACTCCGTGTCGTGCTGATTGACAGTCTTAGATGTATCCACAGAAACTACTCTAGCGCCAAACAGAACCGCGCAGAGGGGAGACAAGAAGCCACCGAGCCATGTCAAAGGACGATCGTTGAAAAACACCTGTTGGTCATCGATTCCGAATCTCCTCAAAATGAAAGTGAAAGCATTAATCAAGCTAACGTGATTGAGTGGGACAGCTTTAGGGTTGCCTGTTGTTCCGGCAGTAAAGCAGACGATAGCGTCGTTGTTTCCACTAAGATTTCCCCCTGTTGCTCTCTCTAAATTGCTCAAATCCGCCTCCCTGGCGCTATTTATCAATGTCTGTAGACTGTGGATACCATCGTGGGTACTCTGACCGATCGTAACGATGAAACGTGTCGGGACTCGGCATTTTGGATCGAATAAGATTGTTTCTATTATACTGGAGACCATGGGCCCATCATCATTAAAAATGATCAAGCCTTTACACTTGGTTGCCTTGAGTTTCCCTAGAATATCTTCTCCGCTCTTTAATTCGTGGCTAAGGAAGACAGCGGTAGCGCCTATGTAGAATAGACCCCATGTAGCGATCAAAAACTCTTTACAGTTAGGAGCTAATATAGCCACATGATGCCTTGAGGTGATCCCCATCTTTTTCAACGATGCCGCAAGATTCTTGGAACTTTTCTGCCATTCTAGAAATGTCATAGAGTGTGATGTTTCTTGGGTAGGATCAAGATACGTTATAGCAATTTTCTCAGGATATTTCTCTGTTGTTTTATTGAGGGCCTCGGCTAATGTCATGTCCACAAGGGGTGTTTTAGGCGCCCCATACAGGTAGCTCCGTGTAAGTGGTGCGTTGGGAAGGGTAATATCGTCGATGTGAGACATTGTGTCTATACGTGTCTACCGTTGCAATAATGTAGTGACTGAAAAACAAAATTGTAAAGAATTGAGAATACTACAGTATAGTTGTTACTGGTCTTGTATACAAGATAACATTTTGTATCATAGACTAGTCTAGCTAGCTTCACACCGGAATAGCCTGACAACGGTAAAGTCAGATACCGTTGTCACAAATGGCGAACATAACCGTCGATAAAGTCCCATGAAACGAGGACCAAGTGATTGAAGAGTTGAAGCGACGGTTATGTTCGCCATTTGTGACAACGATATCTGACTTTACCGTCGTCAGGCTATTCCGGTGTGAGCTTGCACATCCACGTATTTCTGCTGGTCGAATAAGGTGCAATACATAAGACTGCAAGAGTACACGACAATATACCGTTAACTGCTAGAGTACATTGCAAAGTACCACAAAAAAACTGCTGAAGTACTAGAATAATATGCCATTAACTGCTAGAGTACACTGCAATGTAACAGAAACTGCTAGAGTACACTACAATATACCGTTAACTGCTAGGGTACACTGCAATGTACCACAAACTGCTACAGTACACTACAATATACCGTTAACTGCTAGAGTAAATTGAAAAGTACCACACACTGCTAGAGTACACTATAATATACCATTAGCTGCTTGAGTACACTGCAATGTACTAGACACTGCTCAATATATCGGGTATACTGCAACATCACTGTTGATCCACTCGATTACGCTGGAACCGTTTCGGTAACAAAATGTCGGAACGTCGAAGGTACGATTTTTCTTTTTTCCTTATTTCACACGTTGTAGGCAGAATTCCCACGACATTTTTATCACAAACGTGTTATCAGTAAACATATGATACTGATACATGTTTGTTAGAAAAAATGTCGTGGGGATTCTGCCTACAACGTGTGAAATAAGGAAAAAAGGAAAATCGTACCTTCGACGTTCCGACATTTTGTTACCGAAACGAACCGAGGACCGGAACAAGACAGTTTGAGAACTAGTTTGTGTGACCGAGTGGTTAACGATTTATGGAATATGTTTAATTCGCTGAGTGCATTTTGGGATTACCCTGTTTATTTGATATAAAACTAAACTAAAATTTACCATCTAAACTGTTTTATATTTACTTCATGTAACAATATAAACACATCCCCTAAAGATGCCCCCAAAACAAAAAGAAATGATGTCCGAGAAGAAGAAATCACCTCCGATTTCATTATTGAGGCCATTTTTAAATCAATTTTAGGTCCTTATCCTGATTTTCAGGACCCTCTAGTACACTACAATGCTATGAGGTTCTATAGTACACTACAACATATCATTCAGTGCAACAGAACACTACAATATACAGTACTATTGTACTATTGTACACTACAATACACAATACAGTGCAGGTCCGTAGCCAGGATTTACCTAGGGGGAGCGGTTTTACCAAGGGGGAACTTTTGCCAAGAGGGGGAGCTTTTTTGACAGTTTTTGGCAAAATCATGCGACAAGTGCTCAGAAAGGTGAAAAACTCCCGGAAAAACTGCATGATTTTGAAAGAATTTCTGGCCAGACCTGGCAACGGGCCTGACAGTGTTGCATAAAGTGCGAGAAAACACAATAACCTACCATAGACATCGGATATCATTTTAGCCTTAACCTTGTCTATGATTGCTAACACGTTGTGTTAGCGTGTAAAAACACTGCAATAAATCAGAGTGCGAATCAATGTTCATATGGACTAGGCCTATCAGTAACATAAACTCCGAATATGAAGAGCTTTACATACAGCGTAACATATAGATCTGATCGATAAATGCATGCAATTATTTTATGGCCGTGAGAAAAAACGGCATATACTAGAACATACCTGAAATGATGCCCTTTCCGATCAGAAATCTCCAAAGCAAGTTATTAAACCATCATGCTTCCGTTATATTTCACAATGCTAAATACGTCCTGTTGAAGTCTTTTTTTGAAATACTGACTTATCTGTAGAGAGCTTTTCATGCAAAGTGCATGCAAACAACCAGCTGCTTGGTTACCTTGACCCAGAAAACGTCAGCTGATACAATAGTGTTTACCATCCAGGGTCATAAACCACTGTCATTGAAGCAAAAAAGGAGGTCCGTCGTACACAACTTACCGCGTATTTACTATTTACTGCTCACTGAATTAGCGGTTGTTTTTTTATTTACTGACATTGTGAACGTGATAAGTAAGCAAGATGCCATGCTATTACATATATGTATACTGTTAAGCGTACTTTTATTGTTCAAAGGTTACTCAGATAACATGAATTGACCTTAATATCTGTGAATGTACTCAAGATTAAAATAGCTCACCTCATTCGCTGCCTTAAGACTACCCCGTATCCTCAAATAACCCGGTTGTCAAGGTTACTCCACTGACCAGGTACGCCTGCATTCGGTACTTTGAATAAACATGTTTTTTGTCAGTTTTGTTTTTATTTTCAATTGAGGTCATAGTGACCTAATGTTTCCGTTCATACGCTACCACTGATACCACCACGCGTATAGCATAAGGAAAGCAAAAATAAATCACGAGATTTCTCCGTGCTGCTAATAAATGCATATGATGATGAAATTATGATCTGATCGGATATTCACCGAAACAGAATGAATCACGACTTAGTATAGACAATGCTCACGTTTCGTAAGGTATCGTCTGTTCTAAATTGAACAATTGGGCGATGTTATTAAAACTGGACCACCTACTGGTGGTATTGTAAGTAGTTTAATCAAAATTATCATAAACTAAATTTCCAAAATATTATTAAATTTAGGGTCTTCGGTTTAAAGAAAACATATTGTTTTAATAAAGACCAAGTTGTATTTATGGCCAGCTAGTACTCACGGTGAATAAAATAGATAAATAAAATAAGATATCTTAATCAAATTAACGATAAAGGAACGACTCGCTTACGATGCCTTTGAGGTAAATAAACAACTGACAGATATGAAAAAAACAATTATGGCCCCAGGGCCCAAGCACATCAATAGTGTACTCAAATATATTAACAATGGTACTGCATCAAAGGACGATTCTCGGTTTGGAGAACGAAGTTCATCAATATAAATGAGCATTATCCCTGCTTTGAACAAATTTGATTTTTTTTTACATAATATAGATTTGAATGTCTTCTTTTGAATAGTCATAATTTAATTTGGGTAATATTTCTAGATTTTTCGCAAAAAAATATTAGCGCAGTACACTGATGAACTTTTTTCCCCAAATCGAGACTTGTATTTTATTGAATCGGTCTAATTGAGCGTTATCCCTGCTTCAGACCAATTTGTTATTTTTACATCTTGTAGATTTAAATGTCCTCTTTTGAATATTCATAGTTTAATTTGGGTAATATTTCTATATTTTTCATGAAAAAATTATTAGCCCGGGAGACTGTTCTCCAAACCGAGAATCGTCCTTTGCAAACTACAGTGTATTCCAACTTAAAACCAAGAGAAATAAGGAAATTACTGGAAAATAGATACTTACAGTTTTGGGAAACTAAAATAAAATCAAATAACGGTAAAATGAGGTTTAATAAAATAATAAAAGCAAGAAGAAACAAGGGTCCCTACTTGGATTTAATCAAAAATGAATTAGACGGAAATAACAAAGTTAAGAATTAGCGCTAGAAATCGAAACGGGTCGTTACAAAAAACCAAGTATCCCTATTGAAGAAAGAAAATATCTAATGTGTAACAAGAAGACAGGTGTAAAAGGGTAGGAGGTCCTATCAAATTATGGTCCTACTCTCCATTGATTTATATGGTGACCTAAATACAACTCTTTCCCTCATTATCTTAATACGCAATCAGGGCCAGTAAGGCCCGTTAAGAAAAGGGACCATAGTCCCTGGGGGACCATCATTTCTTTCACACCGGTTCAGAATACCACATATAATTTCAAATTGATTCAATTACATAATGATAAAGATTTTAACAGTAGACACGTGTTTATGTGTATATACTGAGTTTTCAATTAAAAATGTATGAATATAAAATAGTACCTTTAATTTATAAGAAAGAGAGTATGAGCAACTTATTGGGAGCAGGAGCAATGGGGACACCTAACTGATACTAGAGATATGTATAATGTGTAACATAATGACATCTATGATGAGTTAACAAATAAGGAAGAATAAAAATCAATGTGAACTATGCCCTAAATTAATGATTATTTGGAATTTTGCTGATCAGGAAGTTTTTTAGTCTTGATTTAAAAATACTTTTTTATTAGGTTATTGTTATTTATTTCCATATTATTCAACATAATTATTTACAAAGATTGTAAGGGGCCGATGTTACGCGGAATATGCCATATATTCATGGTTGCGCGGTATTTGTGATACGGGTGAATATGCCATACTCACCTGCGGTATATGGCATATTCCGCAAGTGAGTATGCGATATTTCGCAGTGAATATACGATACATTGATTTCAGTGAATACCCGATACTCACCTGCAGAATATGTTATACTCACTTGCGGAATATGCCATATACAGCAGGTGAATATGACATATTCCGCAGGCGAAAACGTGATACAGAAAGACTTGGTTTGATTGGTTGCCAGAATCGACTCTAAATGTAAAACTACGCTGGATTACCAATATTGTTGGTGCGTCGAGTACTTATATATGAATCCTGGATTGATTGGGTAAGTTTATTACCTACGTGAGATTGGTGAGTGATACTTCTGCATACGTTGATATATTCGATAAATTGCACTGTTGATTCAGTAATCATATAATTTATAAAGTTTTACTTGTTCGTTCAATCGATGCAATTGACAATTGCGTACTTCCGTATCACGTTCTCATTGGTATATATACCATATACCGCAGGTGAATCTGTCATACACCGCAAGTGAATATGCCATATTCGTTGCGGAATATGGCATATTTTTGTATCGTGTTTACCGCGTAACAGCCGAGGCTATATAGCATTATTGGCCCCCCTCTAATGCTCAGAGAAGGGCTATTTTTTAGATACAAAGGTAGATTATTCCAAATGATTTGTCCTTGCGTTTTTATTGAAAACAATCCTATATTTGTTTCAAACTTTTGTGTATGTAGCTCTTTGTTTTGTCTTGTAAAATAATTATGAATTTGGTCATTGCGATAATAATAGTCACCGAAGAGCAGTTGGTAAATTGTGAGGTTGTTATACCATTTATACACAAATTGACCAATGTTATACTCGAAGATGCTTGGCAAAACTTTAAATTGTTTAAATAAAGGAGATGAATGTTCTCTCCTGTTTTTCATAGCCAATAATATCAAAAATGATTTTTGAAGTTTTGACAGTTTGTCCAGAGCAGTTGTATAGTTGCTACCCCAAACTACAGTACAATAATTGATGAGAATAATGAGATGAGAATAAATTAATGAGTTATAAATTGCAAGCATACTTGGAATATTTAGGAGATGTCTGCATTTAAACAAAATACCAATTGTACAAAAGATTTTGGTTTCAAGACGCTTTATGTGTTTTTTCCAGTCAAGATGTTCATCTACGGCTATTCCAAGGAAAATTGATTTGACTCGCTCGATAAGGATATTGTTTATTTTCACATTTAGATTTTTATGAATTTGTTTCTTCTTTTTTGTGAATACTATATTTTTGGTTTTTGAATAATTTAGAGAGAGTTTATTTGATCTGAACCATTCATCAAGAGTGACTAGTTCCTGGTTAAGATTCTCTACAAGAGAGTCAATACAAGAATCAAGTGCTAAGCCATTTGTATCTTTTGCAAAAATAACGGAGTTTTAGAGTAGTCACTGCTAAGTATATATCATTTACATAAACAATGAACAAAAGAGGACCGAGGACAGAGCCTTGTGGAATACCATATGACACTGATTCTGTTTCAGAGAAAACATTGTTATAAAAAACTTTTTGTTTTTTGTTTTCTAAATAACTTTGGAAGAAGTTAAGGGATGTATCCCTTATTCCATAAAAATTCATTTTTTCTAAAAGAATACCATGATTTAAAGTATCAAATGCTAAATAGAAAGATCAAGAAACAGTCTTATTGGGTACTTGTCATTTTCTAAAGCTTTTCTGACGTTCTCTACAAAAGTAAGAATAGCCATGAAGGTCGAAAAGTTTTTTCTGAAAGAAACGCTTATAGTTGACGCTTATAGTTTTTATAAATGTTCAAATTAGTAATACTTGGAGATTTGATATACTTAGAATATAACTTATTTTTATTTTTAGTAGAGGTAAGCCATGGTCGGGTAGAATTATTAAAACATTTCACTCTTTTCTTTACAATTCAAATACATCAAATACAGCATTGTAAAATAAAGAATATGAGTCGTTAACCTTTGTGGATGCATACATTTCAGACCAGTCAAGAATATTAAGTTTGTGTTTTAAGTCAGTTACATTTGTATCATTGTATCTTCTGAAGGATATTTCTCTTTGAGTTGTCTTTTTTGTATTCATTCTAGTCATTGCAAATACTGGAAAATGATCTGAAATATCCATTAAAATGACAGCACTATGTATAACATTGTTTAGATTAGTGAAAATAGTATGTATTAATGTAGCAGAATGTGATGTAACTCGTGTTGGCCTATATTTCAAGGGTTGGTGATTGAATGGTTCCATAAGGTTTAAAAATTCTCTCGATGCATGATGGGATTTACATTTGAATAGATCAATATCAAAATCCCCAGTTATAATTGAATATTTATTTTCAGATGTTACCCTTGTCATGAAGTGATTTCGATTTTGATTAAAGTTGTCAATGTTTACATTTGGCGGTTTATAGATGATGCTTACAATTATGTTCTTGGAATTGGAATTAATAATTTCAATGGAAATTTCAATGAAAATAACTCAAGGCATCTAATAAAATCTTGCAATGATCAGACACATTTTAGTTAGTTAGTAAATATAATTATTCAAGCTTTTTCATTTATTTTTCTGTAAGCTATATGTACAATTTGCCCAAACTTGGGATAAAGTATAATAAACCTCATAATAATAATATAAATACTATTTATTGTCCATCACGATTCTCTCGGATAATTATTCCCAATAAGACCCAGCGTTTCCCGTTTTTCTCTAATTTAAATGTTCAGTCAATCAGGAAAAGGTTTCGAGTGTGTGTATGAATTAAAGTGTAGAATTATAGCCAAATTGCAAAGATGTTTTGAGTAAAGTTCTTCATTCGTCTTAAATGAAATTCGTCGATAACGACATCTGATGTGACTTAATTTTGAAAAAACAGTACATATGGTTTCTATATCGATTGTATCCCTTTTGCCCCGCGACCCACAGAAGACCCATATCACCATCGATTGTCGGACCATGTATCATGATTGTATGAATAAATAAAACACAACCTTAAAAAATTATGATAATAGAAGTAAATGCAGTTGTTGACGTGTTTATTTAAAATGAATATGCATCCTTCTGATATTAGAGAGGACGACGACAAAAAGGTGTAAGAACAATGCAAGCAGATACGCATATGCGAATATGTCATTCGAATAATGTAATCCTATTTTCTTTACTTTACTGCTATTTTTCTGTTATTGAAAATTGTATGTTGAATGTACGTTAGGCCCTAAAAGGGCATCAGTACAAATAAATCCTATTATGTAGTGTTGAAGAGTGATAATTCCCTACATTCTTCAGTTTAAAATAGATGCATATTGAAAGAAATGTTTTTATACCTGTAAATTCATATCCATGATTACTTATTAATTTGTGTTATTGAGAGCGGAAATGTTCTTTTTTCTTTTCTCATGCAAGCATTCTTTATGAATGCTGGGGACGCTGTATAAAAAAACGACGATTTCAAAATATATAGGTCGGGGAAAGGTTTAATGCATACTGCGTCGCTATAGAATGGATTATATGTAATTGTTTTCGCAATTTTATTCATATTAGGTGTTAATTAGGGATGTTTCACGGTCCCGATAAAAGTTTACTGATTAGAGTTTACTGATAAGAATAACTGTAAATCATCACTGTTGTAGGTTTTTTCAGATTTACATTTAATTTCAAGGCAATAATTATGATAGAGTCGCAATGCTATTTATTGTTTTTTCGAACAATTCAACACCAAATACTGTACATCATTTAACATAATATTTATTTATTTATTTATATTTCATTTGATCATTTGACAATACTAGTTACTTTCTGAGCTACTAATATCGATACCCAAGCTGTTCATTATTTTGGTATTTTTTCAACAGGAAGTGTTCCTGTGATTTCAAAACCCGACGATGTATATCAGCTAAGGACTCCTTTTGGACCGTTTCTTCTGTTTTGATTTTTTCGGAGCAGCAACGTCATCATCATCATCTGTGGAAAGGAAGAAGTGCATTTATTGGCGAATACCCCTATGGTGAGAATGAATAATTCTTAGGTGTAAGGCTGTATTGACTTACATGGTGCTGTGCACCATTGACTTAACATGAGGATATCAGCAGATCCCAATAGAGGCCATTGGTTTCCATTGATTATCACAAAAATACCAAAAATACACTATGACCTGAATCGATTGCAAACTTAATAATTTCACAATATGACACAAATGGTTTATCTCATCACAAGTGCAAATATGAAGTTTGCAATCGATTCAGGTCATACTTAAAATTAAAAGATTGTACATTTTTTTATCATTTTTTCCCTACAAAATGGCAATAGAAAAATGCTCCAAAAACAACTTTTACACTTATCAAAAATTATACAACTTTGTAAAACCAAAGAATATACTATTATATTTCATTATGTAGTAACATATTTGGATAAGATGTAAGGATGCGTAGGATGCAAATGGATTTTGACAGACACACAAATACTTCCTTGTTTGGAATCTATGCCTCTACACTTCATGATTGAATTATGACCCTAATAAGTGGCCTATACATCAATACAGTGCTGAATATAAGTCAACAAGATACTAGTGTGCAAATAAATGTAATAATTAAAGCAGAATACTCATTTTGAAAAATCAGATGAATTATTTTTTTCTCATGGATCCCAATGGAATATGTATATGGTCCTTTGGTCTAGAAGTAAATCTCTGAACCCATCATTTGATCCTTTATCGTCAGCATCGGACTCCTGTTTTGAGGTTGACGACATTGGCGTTTCAAAGTTCTCCTTTGGGGTCTCCTTCGGGGTCTCCTTTGGGGTCTCCTTGGTAGTCAGCGGCTTTTTCGAAGTATATCGCGTTTCCATATTCTTTACTTCGGCGATCGCATACCTGCAAACATCAGACATTAATATTAAACAAAAAATCAATCAGATACCTTTTTCAAACAATATCAAAAGAAAAATTGAATGAGGCGAAACAAGTATCAAATGATGGGTTTGTGATTTGCTTGCAAATAGAGTGATTTCAGACTATGGTATTTTAACACATGTAAAATATTTTTAACTTTTTACGTACTTTACTTCGTCATCTTGTGGTGGATCTTTTCCTGTCATTAGTTTCCCCAACAAGAACTGTTTTATTCTGGATACCGAGGTTATCATTGTTTACAGACGCAAATAATAGTTGATAATAGCAAGAACATCAGGCATATCCACAGCGGTTTTCTGGGCCACATGAATGATGCTATGGCGGATCCGGTGGGGCCCATGGGGCCAAAAAGGCCTTAAGGCCCCAAAAAGTGGGCCTTTTGGTCATTATTGGGCCTTCAAAGGCCTTATTTTTTTAATTTTAGGCCAAATTTTGAAGGAAATGGGCCTCAAATTTTCAAAATTTGGGCCCACTTTTCGGTTTTAGGGGCCCAAAACTTTTTTTGTGAGCTGTGATGCCCAGACATTTGCATTGATGGACAATAATGGACCCTACGAGAATTTACCTTTCTCTGCCGATTGTAGAATATTAGCCGACAAAATTTGTCCATGTACCTATCCACTCTTACGAAAATATAAAACTTCCGAATTAAGACGAAAACCTTTGAGGATGCGACGAAAATGCAAGCGTCTTAATAAAATAATTGGGTCTCGTAGAATTTATGTAGAGCATGTAATTGGTAATTTGAAGGTTTTTAGATGTATTGGAACACTCTTTAGACACCCACGTGAAAATATGGCTAAGATTGTTGAACTGTGCGCTGGACTTAGTGTAAGGAAAACTACCTTGTTTAATTAAATATCTTGTGATATACGCTGCTTCCCTGCCTAAACTTAAAAAATTATGAAAAATTAATGTGAAAAAATCTATAGTAGTGACGATTTACAGTAGTTCTTATCAGTAAACTCTAATCAGTAAACTTTTATCGGGATCGTGAAACATCCCTACTACACACATATGGACATATTTGGAGACCCAAAAAGACTTAGTTTCAGAAATATTACAAAGGACCCGGTATAGTATGGCGAGTAATTTTAGACGATATATTTTATCATGAGTGCTTTCTAAAATCAAATATGACATTTCTCATTAAAACAATATGTTATCTTTCAAGAAAATTCTCAAGGATAATAAAAAATATCAATCAAACAATTCGAAAAATTATGAATATGGACCACATGTCAAAATTCTTTTCAAGATGTTGAACCTATTTACACAAAAGAGGATCTTTTTCTAATTTTTATTGCATGAAAGGATTATTCAACAAATGGGTTTAAAACTTCTTCATAAATAGAATAGTGTTGAAGGTCTAGTTTTTTAGATATCAATTTTGGATGACCAAAATTATGCTGAAAACAATGGATATAGTAGTTTTCCTTATCGGAAAATAACATAGGATATGGATTTTTAAACTTCATCGCATTTCAATACCTATCCCCTTTTCAGAATATAGTGTAAGAAACTTTTGATATATCTGAATTGAGATCACTCTAACATTTAAAAAAAGTGACAAAGTGGGGTCCTAATCCATAATTTTCCGAGAGTTGGGATTGATATTTTTATTACCACGGGGACTTCACTTGAAAGAAAACATATTGTTTTCATAAAAAAACAAACATTTTATTTATGGCCAGAAAGTATTCATGGTCCAGAATCACAGGCCATACCAAACCTGGTCCTTCAAATTTAAAATTGACTGTTAACTCCGCACCAAACGCTCATTCCTGCCGCCCCAAATATTTCCCATAGGCCCCCGTCTGCATTGGTTGAATTCTTTGCATTTAACATTTGAAACTGTTCCCCCACGCCGGACAACAAAGTTAAATATTATTTTTAAAATACTAGTAAATTAAAAAGACCCAATACATCGATAGATCTCATTTTAATACCTTTAGATTGATGCTGAAACATATGTTAATATTATCATGTCACTATGTCGTGCCATTAAAAAGTTAAAAAGCAAATTTTAGAGTGTGGTTTCGCCGTTTTCATTGGGTTGACTCCTACTCTTGAACTCAACAGAAGTGAAAGTTAACCCAAAATGATATACCCATTGCAAGGTATAACGAAACATGAAATAAAAAATATTCCACTAAGTTTTATTGGTGTTTTTATGAAAAGTGACATGCTCTCTCCACGCCGAACAAGTCTTTCGATCACAACCCGTTCAGTATGATACCATCGTGAGATATATTGAAAACCCCACTGGCATTACTTAAAAACAGGATGTTCATGTATGTTGATTCTTGATTATAGTAACATTATATGTTAATGCATTATTTTTGTCCATGGCTCTAATCTTTGTAATTATTGCTTGCAGTCACTCGTAACCTATCTATGGACAAAGGATCAAGTACATAAATCCAAATACCCTAGGACATCTCACTTCAAATGCTTTTATAGTTAAAAAGTTTTATAGTTAGCTAGATAGTTAGTTTAGTTTATTTCTTTATAGTAGTCAGTCTAACAATTCAACAAAGTATGAAAAATGAATAACAATTTCACCCAGCCCACCTTGGGGTTATTGTTAACAACGCAACCACTATATTTGTATTTGTTGTTAACAACCACTGTTAACAACAAATACAAAATTAATACGTGGAAATTAATATCATATGTTATAAATGAATTGCCTTCTCCGCACGAAAGCCATTCTAATAAATTTAACAATTTAGGTATGATCCCGAACGAGATATTCAATTTTGCTACCTCCATTATCCAAATCTTGAAAATTTACCTCATCAAAGTAAATATGTTTTTCTCAGATCATCATATAATTGCAATTTAGCATCATTTCATTTAAAATTCTTTCTACAAATTATGACTCATTTGACATTGTCTAATTCATAGTAAGACAAACCATTGGCGTCAACAACAAAATTGCTCAATGGAATCTTCGATTCTAGAAGTGTACACTTTTTGTCAGATTTGTTAAATACAAAAGCTCGACATATACACTTTGTAAGCTCAAAACATTTTGTCGCACACTCCAATTTGGACCTTGCGACGAATTCCCCGCCTATAGCGTTTGAGAGATCATTCACTGTTTTTTTATCAATCTTCAAAGCATATGTCATTTTTCCTAATTGTGGTGTGTCACAAGGCTGTGGTATGGTCGTCATTTCGGTTGTTTGCACGGTTGTTTGTTCGGTTGTTTGCACGGTTGTTTGTATGGTTGTTTGTTCGGTTGTTGATTCATGAACTGCAAATACAATTAAGAGTAAAAGTTATTTGTGTAAAATAAAATCGAAGTTCTATACAAACCGGGAAAGTACACCCCATTCGACTTCTAGTAAACTGTATTCGACTCCGTCTGCCAATATTAGACCGCAGGAGTGCCTCTTTAAAAGAATACCTCTAAACTCTAAAGGCGTGCCTCTTACCTATCATACAGGCTACAACAGGAGCTTCTTCGTCACAGTTTTTGTTTATCCAGTCCATGCTGTCGGCCATGACGTAAACACAGTCCTCAGAACCATCCGGAACACTATCCCAGTTTGTCCAAGTTATTGGAGATCCATCATTGTGCCAATACCAATTGCCTCCACTGTCCCTTTGGGCGCCAATCCAAACCTTTTCGTCGCTATATAAAAAATAAATAGAAAATATTAGAAAGTATTAATGATCTACGCGAAAATCGCGTATGCTGGCTGGATATGTTCAAGATGCAATTTTCTGTGATTGTGTTTTCTGTTGAGTGCAGCATAAGAATTTCAATCATCATATACAACCATCAAGGCTACTCCGTGTCAAGGTCAAAATAAAATATCAATGTCATGTTAAAGGTCAATTGTATTATTTTTTATGAATTTGAATATTCTCAAGACTAAATGTATCCTCTCTCAATGATACAATATCTCACTCCGTCATTTCCACCTCAATTTGCATTTTAAAGATAATACTAAAATTGATTACCCGTAGGATGCAAGGATGTTACGAAGAGTTGCGCTGTCGACCGCGCTGTTTACTTTGGCCAGGACTCCGCCAAACTGTGTGGCACACTTAGTTTCCGCTATATTTCTGTCCATATCATCGTCGTTGTTGTAAGCCTTGTACTCATCTAAAACAGAATATCTTTAAATATAGAAAATATAGTTTAGGCATGTCATAACTTTCGATATGGGTTGAAATTCAAATAGTTATACTCAAGACCCCAGAAAATTCAGAAATATGTCCTGTTGAAGAACCATACTTTTTATTACTTTGAACCTGTAGTATTTATATTGCTATAGTGATTCCTCTTTTTGACAGCAAATTGCTTTGGGGTTTTTAAGTTATGGAGGATTTCAACAAGGGGCGATTTTCAATAACGGTATACTAGTAGCCTACACAATTATTTCACATAAAATATAACATTAAGAGCCTTAAAATGTCAAAAACAAAATAGCTTGTCAAAAATTGTTATCATATGATATGATAATAAAGAGATTTCACGGCTGCCTATACGTCAATAAGAGTGATGTTCTTATATACGTCGTCTATACGTAATATAAATCATTTATTAAAGGACTATACAAAGTAGGCCAAAAAACGCCACTTTTTTTCAAAATGCTATATATAACTTTTTTAATTTTTGCTACAAAATCATAATTTGCATATACCAAATGAAACTTGAGGATGCTATCTAGCCATGGATTATGAATTGTACACTTTTACTTGAATAAAATATGTCACCAGCGTCTCACTTAAACATGTGGTGTTCCATGAGAAATAAATATAAGTTGCTAAATGTTCCTGAACTGATACGGCCTGATGACCACCAAGCTAATAGTCCTGATGCAATCCCAAGTGAGAATAGGGTATGGGAAGGTCTCCAAGAGATGGTATAAAGGCACCCATTCTTTACAGCGTAGGTATGATGGAAATCTTGAAACCGCAGATTAACTTAGCATAATACCAGTGAAGGTGTATTGGATTGTACAAGGCGGTAATAATTCGAGATCAGATAAGTAAAAAAAATACCGACTCGGGCAAGGCTAAAAAACCTAGCACTATATAACTGCAAAGTTTGGGGTATATACGAGGGTTGGAAAATAAAAAACTTATCTCGGTGAATTATATTTATAAAAGGGATTTTATTTTTGTAAAAAAATGTGTCAAGTATTGAAAACAGTGGTTTGCAAAAGGACATAAAACCTCCACGGAAAGTTCAAAAGCATGGCCTTAACCGAACTTTTAACCTGGAAAATCTTGATCAATGAATAATGCTACCAATATCTATGGAAGATCAATATAAAAGTTATAAAACCTAGTTTTTTAAGGAACTCTTCTCGCAGAACATATTGATCGACTTGATCAGGCTAATATGCTATTGTTTTTGTTCATGGACACTCCGAGTTGTTTACAAATAACTTTTGATTTCTAAAAAACAACGAATTTTATTGACTTTCCTAACTAAAGTACATGCCGGTGTAAAAGAAATAAAAGAAATTATGGTCCCCTGGGGATTATGGTCCCCTTTCCTTACGGCCCTTGCTGACCCTGACTGTGTATAAATAATAAGGAAAATAATTGTAATTAGGTCACCATATAAATCAATAGAGAGAAGGACCAAAATTTGATAGGACCTCCTACACTTTTACACGGCAATCTACAGAGTGACACGAAATTGTTAATCATGAATAAAAACGTACATAACTGTAAACATCAATGCACATTGTGAATGCTACTTGATATCTGTAGTTGACACGGTCATTTTCACTGTAAGTGATCATTGTACCCCTCTGCCTTTTCAGAAATTTAAAGATTAAAGTCGATTTCATTATAAACAGCGAATTCATTCTTCAGGTATGTTGCGGTAATCGATACAGATTTTTGTGGCATCCTGTACAAGTGTTTGTATTGGCCAACTCAAAAATTCTTTGCACTTACTCTTTCCAAATTTCCTCACTTTGGTTCTTATATTCTGGCAAGAATTATTGAATATTAAAATTTCCAATATTACAAGTGGTAGTTACCAATTTCACCACCAGGTGGCTTATTCGGGTCAGATCAGATAAAACTGCAAACCATGAACTCATTAACTTTAATTTACATTAGTCTAAGTGGAACAATTTTCATATAACCTTTTAAAATTTGATAATTATACAACTGTTAATTTGTACATAAAATGAAAATATTGTCTGTTCAATACAAGAAAAGATATGTCACTTTTCATAATTTAAAACATGGACTCTACGGTTCAAAATATTGATTATTTATTATACAAATCAAATACATGATTTTGACTAAGTTTTGAATATTGCATGTCATGCATGTAAATTAGGATTTGTTTGTTTTTGCAATCTACTAATTACAAACCTCCCTTGATTTTTGAAAATAAACCAGTTCGGTTAATTTCCAGGAAGCCAACTAGATGTATTTCCTACATTTTGAAACTGTGCGAGAAACTCTAAAAAATATTTACTATTATGAGAGAACTTGGATAAACAAAAATTAATATTAGTTAAATAAGAACACGAATGGGTGAATTTCAATGATATTAAAGTATATATACTTACATTGGCAATTATCTCCCGCAAATGAACTTACACAGCACATAACAAATGATGTGAAACTTCCAAGCAGCATAATTACAAAAACTTTCTCCATTTTCTATGTGATCGCTTACAATTTGATAAAAGTTTTAGTGCAAGTCAACTCGTCTGCTAGTCTGCATGGAAGAGGAAGAAGAAAATCATTCGACTTTTTTTTTAATTGATTTTACTTTGCGTTGACAAGCTTATCACAAAAGTAAGTAAACAAATTATGTTTATCTAATGCCTACAGCATGTCTGTCTTGCAAACTTTTGTGCTAATTGTAAGATATTTTATATATATATTGATCGATGAAATTGATATTTAGGGAGGCGTGCAAAAAGTGCAAGAGTCAACTGCAAAAAAGAAACTTCAAATCCTGTTTCAGTTTTCATTAGAGAAGCCTTTTTTAATCACTAGCGTGTCTCTATTTTCTTTCTCCGTCTACATATTGTTACTTTTCTTAAACCTCTCCTCTCGTATGTTTCTTCCAACCTAAAAATTCAATCAACATTTCAAAATGTTGGTATAATCGAACCGTAAGGCCTAATTCTAGAATATCCAAATGATGTTAACGAGAAAATGATCACAATATCTTATGACTAGTCAATGAACCAACTAGACAAAATACCATTCTTGATTTAGTATTCACGACATGCCCGACCTCGCAGAAAGGGGTGTCGGTGTGGTTTCGGGCATGGGTGACCATCAGGCATAAATCTGACAACGCATTAAAAGAAGCCTCGCAAAGTCCACAAGTGGGCAAAATGGTCTGCCATAACTCAGGTTAACTTCAAAAATAAACTGTTGTTGATTGAAAAAAGAAGTACCATGGTAACCAATGTTGGTTTCTATAAGAGCTAAAATTTTGAAATGCACTTCTCTCTGAACCGGTATTTTCATCCATGGATGAGTTCATGTTCGCTTATTTATGAACCCATTTTCTTAATTGTTCCGCAAAAACACAAGAGGATGAATGGGTGTAAATTGTCTTTCGTTAAAAGGAATTTGTGACCTCTAAAAGTTAGTTTTCAATAAATTCACATTTTTTTTCGAACAAAACCTTCTTCAAAAACCAGTTCTTGAAATTAAAAAAATGTTTCACATATCACTCTTTTATAACATTGGCGAAGACTACAATGTAAGCCAAAGTGGTTTAAACCAAAGACATAAAATAAATGTCTCAGCTGTTTAAACTTAAATGGGGGATTTAAGGACACGTCCTATACACATGCATTGGGATCTCACATAACTAACACATATTCAAACAATTGTATCCAAATCCAATTAAGGGCTAAATGGTTTCCCAGGCGCAACCTCAATCAAATGCCCTGAATAACAGAAGGCCCGGTGTGAAAGAAATTATGGTCCCTCAGGGATTATGGTCCCCTTTCTTAACGGCCCATACTGGCCCTGCCTGTGTATAAATAATAAGAAAAGTGATTGTAATTAGGTCACCATATAAATCAATAGAGAGTAGGACCAAAATTTGATAGGACCAGCTACCCTTTTACACCGGGGATACAAGTCATTTATCAGGCGTGAAAGTAATTATGGTCCCCCGGGGATTATGGTCCCCCTTTTTAAAGGCCCTTACTGGCCCTGATTGCGTATAAGATAATGAGGGAAAGAGTTGTATTTAGGTCACCATATAAATCAATGGAAAGTAGGACCATAATTTTATACAACCCTTATTATCTTAAACGCAATCAGGGCCAGTAAGGGCCGTTAAGAAAGGGGACCATCATTTCTTTCACACCGGGGATACAAGTCATTTATCCGGCCTAATTTACAAACTGTGTCACCAATACTCTTACAAACCTACAATGGGAGTCACTGAAAGAGCTTAAAGAGGCTAGACTCTAGTTCCTTTTTACAAAGGAAAGCAGACCCTAGCAGCCTTCCGCACACAGCAATAGTTCGTATCATATCCTTTTATAAAAGAACAAACAACCCTCAACTAGAGCGGATGCATACAAAATCAATGTTGCTATATCAGTCTACGTCAATATATTTTTGAGATTGCATAGATATCAAGAAATTTCACAGGAGGTGGAGCCATACCGGTATGTGTATCTTTATATATATTTGGATGAGAAAAATAGTAAATGCAAACCCCCCGTTTCAATGTGATATTTGTCGTCACAACATTACGTATTCATATTTTGGTTATGCCCCACATATAAAAAGATGGATAATTTGAACAATATACCAGAGTGAAGAATGGTGTATGATGACATATTGCAATTTAGATATCTAGTCGAATGAAAATAATAATGTCCTAAGTGCCATTTTTGAAAAAATGATATTTTCACTCTTTAAATCATCCTCTTTCAGTGTCAAATTGTCCTAACTCCATACAAAATTCAAAAATACAATTTAACTTTGTTCCATGTATCACTTTAACCGACTTAATTGTTTGAATTGCACTATGCGACTCAGAATTATTATAATACAATTTCAAACTGAGATTTGAATTTATTTTTGAAAAAGAACGAATAGAGGAATTTGTGTCCATTGAAATACATAGGAAAATGGACATAGCTCAGCTTTAATCATTTAATCCTACGAAAAACAATGCCATCATTCAATGGCATTGCTAAAAACTTGAAATATATAAATTGATAGATCAAAAAATATTTTTTCATGATCTAGTATCAACTCTGATGTGATCTGTTTGAGCTGTTTTTGGTGTCAAATGAAAGATCAGGTGCTTATTAATCTATTGGAAATACTATGAAGATCAAATGTGAGACTTCATTTGCGCATTTTGTTCCTTTAAGAGGGAATTTATTGGCGTTTATCTGGAGGGAAGAATTTCGTGAAGTTTACACATGGACTTCGCCGCACTGTAGTATTATGAAGGTTCGCAATGGTATGATGAATGATCGCTCTAGTATCATGAAGGTTTGCACTAGTATCATGAAGGTTTGCACTAGTATCATGAATGTTCACATTTATATCATGGTTTGCACTAATATCATGAAGGTTCGCACTAGTATCATAATGGTTTGCACTCGTATCATGAAGGTTCGCACTAGTATCATAATGGTTTGCACTAGTATCATGAAGATTCGCACTAGTATCATTATGGTTTCCACTAGTAACATGAAGGCTCGCACTAGTATCATAATGGTTTGTACTAGTATCATGAATGTTTGCATACTAGTATCATAATGGTTTGCACTAGTATCATGGTTTGCTCTAGTATCATAATGGTTCGCACTAGTATCATGAAGGTTCGCACTAGTATCATAATGGTTTGAACTAGTATCATGAACGTTTGCACTCATATCATAATGGTTTGCGCTAGTATTATAATGGTTTGCACTAGTATCATTAAAATTGCATGGTATGCAATTCTGCCATGTGGATGATACTTTATTCCAAGTTGACCCAAATTCTCTAATCTTAATAATACAAAAAAAAACGTTTTTATTTTCACACTTTTTATTATAAATGATACTCATTGGCAGGCTGACATGATCAAAACAAATCTATACAAACACAACACTAGGGGGTCTATGGGTCAATACATACAGGGTGGAACATTTTTCTGGTTATTCAATTGTTTTTATTTTTGCAGTTCAGTTCATAAAAATTCAGATAATGGTAAAATGATTATATGTGTAAATGTTAAAGACACAAATATGTGTTGATAGAAATAATTTTTAAATAAAGATGGCATGTGAATCGATCTTTGTTTATTGATAAATAATATATAGACAATACTAGATTCTGTTGGTGCTGCCAGCTTTATATCGGCCCAGAATCTATGGTCATGATCTGTATACTGTGTGTGTCAGACTGATTGTTCAGGTGGGTGGAGGACATGTTCAGTAATTAAATGTTGAGCTTGTATATTCATATTTGTCCAAGCTGTCGAAAATGAATTGTTTTTCAATTTCCTAAAGTATTAAAGATAATACATGACTAACAAAAAAGTTACAGTTGATGGAAAAATGTTCTCTTTTTTTTTACTCAACGCAAGGGTTTCCTGAACATGTCCTCCACCCACCTGAACAATCAGTTTTAGCTGTATTTGACAGTCATACTTGACTTAAATTACAAGTTTTGAGACATGTTGTGTCAATTTTGAAAAAAGCTGAGGTCAGTTAAGCTATATTATCCAAGGGAGACATGTCTTGCTTCCCCTAGAGATAACTACATATAACTACAGATAAATACATTTAATTGATGGAAATTGTGTTGAGACCATTTGAAGGGTGCATATTGTATGGTATGAAAGATACTTATTTTCAGCAGTGATGTCTCAAGAAGAGAAAATTTGAAAATTTTTCTTGAAACACTCAGAATACAGATCATGACCATGACAAGCCAAAAATAATCATACATAAATATTATTATCTTTAACATTTTCACAAATAATCATTTTACCATAATCTGAATTTTTGTGAACTAAACTGCAATAACAAAGAAAATTGAATAAAAAGGAAAAATGTTCCAATTTTTATTGGCCCACCCTGTAGACCTAAGAATCAGGACCGCCCAAAAAATTAGGAAGAGGAGGCAATTGAAAATTGAATAAATTATAAGACATAACAAGCTAACAGATAATATTTTAATTATTTGATCATGGACTTACAGAAACTACTTCCCTGATTTGATGTTATGAAAAAAGGGACAAATAACTAACATAACTCATCCTCTGAATGCAGGGCTCTATATATCATCCAAACCATTCCTTCCCTGAGTTCAGAGGTTGAACATAATTGCTCTTCATCTTTTCTATCTGATGGCTAAAGACTGAAGTAACCTACCACGTACAATGTCAAATTCTGCAATAAATTGTGCAAGTTACATATGATTCTGAATGAACGGAGATTACTACACCTATTAGCTCTTTAATTTAAGTTGCTAAAAGTCACCATATTGAACATAAAAATGAGTTAATATGTTAGTTGCTCATTGACAAAACATATAAAATCTTACATCATTGTAATGCTGCATTAGGACCACTGAAGCCATTTATTCAAACAATATAGCAACAATATGATCTTTGTGTTATCTAAATCATCTAGTCATTAATATTAATAACACAATGTACACTAGTAGCTACATGTACCAGCATTCATAAGATAACCTTGTAGCTGTGCATGCATGTACCAGTTATCAGTACTTTACATAATATGCACTAGTAGCTATATGTACCAGTACTGTCAGTACTTTACATAATATGCACTTGTAGCTATATGTACCAGTTAGCAGTACTTGACATAATATGCACTAGTAGCTATATGTACCAGTTAGCAGTACTTGACATAATATGCACTAGTAGCTATATGTACCAGTTAGCAGTACTTGACATAATATGCACTAGTAGCTATATGTACCAGTACTGTCAGTACTTTACATAATATGCACTAGTAGCTATACAAGTTCTGTATATAAAGACACTAGTAGCTAGCTAAATGTACCGATGCTGTCAGCACTGTGCACAACCATGCATTCGACTCTTAAAGAGGTCAGCTGTCAAAATTGTGCTAAGCATGTTGAACTGAGAACTTACAGACTTATGCTCAGGTTTAGAGTTAAGGGATATAATCCCTGGGAAATAATGTTTAACAGTCAACCAAATGTAACATCTATGATTGTTTTTTGGCTGAAGAAAATGCTTAGTAAGACTAGAATACCTTTAATATTAAACAATAAATCATTTCATATTTTCTAACTGATTCATCTGATATGATTTAGAGGAATCCCTTTAGTGGACTTAAAACATAAAGTACTAAACAAGCAATCCATTCCATGGACAATTATCAAAACTATGGCCTATTTACCAATTAAAATTGAGTATCTACATTAGGGTACTAACAAAACATAATAATCATATATATCAGAATGTATATCAACTACATGTCAGTCAAATAGAAAACTATGTTAAAGCTTTGTATCACATACAGGGTGTCCGGAAAGTAAAGATACAAATGCTATAATTTCAAGAGATTTACCTGTTATGAGATGAAATTGCTCCAGAATGTAGAATGACATTATAACAATATATCCTGCAACTGTCATGACTTTTAGTTTCAAAATTAAAAAGTTATGGTTGTTATGGTAACGGGAGTCGAGGGTAAGTGGAGCAACGTCACAACTGTGTTCTACAAATCTCTTTCCTACTCACATGATCTTGGCACTCCACCATCTATTCCTGTATTGTATCAAACTATGTACCACAACAGCATATGGATTAGTAATGTAACATTATTTGATCATTTCATATTACTGCTATCATTGGATATTCAGTATTTTCCCCATTATCTATGCATTCTTGGTGCATCTTGACCAGCGGTTCAAAGACCTGACAAAACCGCTGCTGTCCATCTCTCAGATTGCTGATAACATTGGCTTCCAGCTGAGTCTAATTTGTATGTTGACCTTTTTACAAATATTGCTTTCAAATGGTCATTAAGGTAGAAGTCTAAATAGGCTTTATCAGGTGAATATGGGCCATTGTATAGAAAGGTTTAATGTCAAGACACTCCATTGTAAGATTTGTTTTTTTTTGCTTTGTGAATTGGTGCATTGTGGAGATGCAATATTGACTTTTCTACTAATGGCCAGGGACCATTCTTCTAGGCACTTGTATAACATTTCTTTCATTATACTGGTAAGTGACATAACATAGTTCTGATATGTAGCAATGACATCATTATATAATAGAAAACACTATGGCAGCAATAATACAATGATGAACAAAAAAACATAGATAGAAAATACAACAACAAAAACACTGTTTCAAATGGTTGTCTTTTAGCAATTTTTCACTTTTTAGCGTTGTTCTGGAACTGCTCCGCATACCCCTCACATCTGTAACCATAACAACCGTAACTTAAACACATTAAGACTATATGTGATGAAAGTTGGTAGATATATTTTAATATTGTTCCTCTACAATCTGTAGCAATTTCATTTCAAAAACCCCAAATTTCTTAAAATAAGAGCATTTGTATCTTTACTTTCCGGACACCCTGTATATACATACTTCTACCAGTATAAATAGTATAACTAGACAACAGCAACGCCAAAGCGTAGCAAATCCCATCGAACAGCCATTGCTGGCATTTTTACAAACAAAGTATATAGCAAAAATGGCAGCCATTTTTCAAAATGGCCACCTTCTACCAAAAGTGTCATTAGACAGTGTGCCATGCTTATAGTATTCACATACAAAATATGAACAAAATCGCTCCACTACTTTTCGAGTTATAGTAAAATACGTTAAAATGGTGGCCATTTTTCAAAATGGCTGCCTTCTACTAAAAGTGTCATTAGACAGTGTGCCATGCTTATAGTATTCACATACCAAATATGAACAAAATCGCTTCACTAGTTTTAGAGTTATAGTAGAATATGTTAAAATGGCAGCCAGCCATTTTTTAAAATGGCCGCCTTCTACCAAAAGTGTCATAGACAGTGTGCTATGCTTATAGTATTCACACACCCAATATGAACAAAATCGCTCCACTACTTTTCGAGTTAAAGCAAAAATTGTAAAATAACGAGTAAAGGCCGCCATTTTTCAAGATGGCTGCCAGGTGCTTCTTTAATACCTACATTTCTATCTTTATTAATGTCCTATATATTTTTTTACATTTAAAACATATTGCTATTACAGTTTTCCATATTGCACCTAAATTACTGTAAAATCGGCACTAAAATGGCCACCATTTTTAAATGAGCTGCCATTTTGAAAATCGGCTTTCGAGCAGAACTTCTACTCCCATAGGGTATATGTGTACAAAATATGAACAAAATCGGGCCAACGGTATTTGAGTTATTGCCTGGACGGACGGACGGATGGAGGTGTTCCCTATATCCCTCCGAACTTCGTTCAATGGGATAAATACACTGTATACAACAATGTATACTCAAGCAAAGTAGGTCCTCATAGAGGTTTTGTTAAGGGCTTGTGATGCACCATTGGAAATTTGGATGTGTATTATAAAGCAACACTATGCTTACTATAATATGTTTGGAAAAGAAATTTCCCGGAATAGAAAATCCCAACAGACAAAACATAGTATGTTATCAAACATTTGTCATTTTGAACATTTTATGACAGAAATAATAACCAGGCAGAGATTTTATCTCCTTTTAGCCACATTGACACCTATGATATTGACAGGGCACCAAGTTAGAAATTCCTTCAGCAGAAGAGATCTTAAGCCCATAAAAGCATCATCCTACATAGAATTTGGAGTAAATCCAATTATTGGTAGTTGTGATCGGGAATCATATTTTTCTGAAAATGCGGTCATTTTGAATTCAGCTGCCATCTTGAAAATGAATTCTTGTGTAGATTTCTATGCCCATATAGCATCAGCACATAACCTCTGGTGGTTATCAAAGATTGTGAAAAATGCACCAAAGAAGGTTATTTATTCTTTGGTATGATACATCTGAAATAAGATAAATTGTGAGGTCTCTTAGTATTCTTACAAAAATAGCTTAAAGCCCCCCATTTTGACAAATCTTCTGATCCCACTTCGGATTCTGTTTGGTATTCATTCATATAACAAAATATCAATTTTCAATAAATTGTTTGTCATCTTCAAAATCCATCTAATTTCTCCATACATTTTCCCTTTCCAATGGTATATTCAAACCTCCTGCAGGAGTAGTGTCCTTCTTTTGATCTACTTTGGTCATTTATATATAACCATTTTATAGTAAAATTAAAATACATCATAAATATGCTTCAGAAGCTTATCTTTAAGATCCTAAATTCTACAATATCACTCCAAAGGACCTAAGTGCACATACATGTTTATAGTATAAAATAGATTGAAAACAAGGCATTCACATGCAAAATGTCACCATCTGCCATTTATAAGACACTGTACGCCAACTGTCAAATACCAAACACATTCCACAAAAAGTTGGAGACTATATCAATATATCGCCACTTGAGGTGGTGACGTGACATAAAACTATCAGATGCCAATATTTAGATCCTAAATGCTACAGTATCACTCTATGTATTAAACTTTTCGTTTTTTCACATGTCCATTGGAAGCATCTCCGTTTGATAACACACCATTGGTTGAAACACCATTGGTTGAAACACTATTTCCATTGGTGACGAAACCATTTTTATGAGAAACTCCATTTTTCGCATCCCTGGCCTTCTGTCTCTTTAACATGTATGTGCGAATATAAAAATTCGAAAACAGGATCAGCATGGCAACCATATACCAAACCAATAGCCACTCGCCCCACTTTGGAAAATCACATGGTTTGTATATAGAATGAATCGAGTGTGCTAATGTTACACAAAATTGAGTCTGGAACAAAAAAGTCATTTATTTAGTATCTCTTGATTTGATGTTAACATGTATCTAAAGTTGATTTAACAATGATTCAAAATAACAAATATTTATAAAGTTAAGTGATATTATGTATCAGGAATATTTTACACTATTTTTTATTTAGAATTACACACTGAGGCCAAAGAAAATTTATAATATATTTTGGATACATAAGTCATAGAATGTTCATAAGACAATGCATGCTGAAACAACATGCACAGCTATGCAATACATACTGCAAAAATAATTGAAAGATGAACAGGTATTGCCTTCCATAGAATGAAATATTTGCTTAATATTCAAAATATTAAGACTAGACTAGGGATTTTTTATTCAGTTCTAAAAGCTCGATTTTCCTTGCTTTTTAAAAGCTGACCTGACTTTTTCTTCAAAAACTTTATTCAATATAAATATTTAAAGTATTCATATTTTACTATGAGTTTAAATAGATGTCTCCCTCTATTCACTCTTTTTTGCTGATGAATTGTAAATTGTCTTATTGGCAGATACAGTATAACCTTTGTTTAGGAAACATTCATTGTTTGTTGTTGTTCATTTGAAGTTATGTAATTATCAAACTCAAGAAGGTTAGAGAAAATTATGTTTGGAATTTTTTCTCACTCAAGTTATGTCTTGGTGAAATCAGTAACTAACTACAGTAATTTGTAATCATGTGCAAAACATAGTATAAACCTTCTTTGGCACTAAAAAATGTAAATTCAAAAATAACCTAAGAGCCTCACCAGCTGAAACTGTGTAATGTAGTTTTTAAACCATAGTTTTCCACGTAAAGATGGGATGGCTGATAGACCGTAATAAGCGTACATTACGACGTGCACAGAGCAGTTAAGTGAACTTCCAAATATGGCTGAAAGTAAACCAATTGTAAGTCACAAGTATAGATGGCATATACAAAGCAATGAGCATTTCTACATAGAAATGCATTATCGTTGATTACATGTAAACTGCTTTGAGAGTAATATGAGAAATTGTGCAAGATGAAAAAATCAAAATGTAAACATTTTATTTTTCAACATATCATTAATAAGTTAGTCGAATAGGAATTCTCTTCTTTATTTTTCGCAACTGAACAGTGTAAGAGGAGCAATGAGAAAAATTTTACCAATGAATATGGAGATTTGTCCAAATGGGCCACACCTCTTGAATTAGTATTACAGTTTGGACCATAAATAAATGAGTCATAAATTTGCTGAAGTGAGGATTTCCCATGTTAAAAATAAGAGAATTTTCAAGAGGTCATACATCAGTCAATGCAAGTGTAAAATATTAGAGGTGTCACGGATACCCGATTTTGTTCCGATCCGCGGAATTATGCCCTCGGAACTGAACACGGAACACAAATTGAGAATTTCGGTTCGGTTCCGGAACAAGAACATTTTACCCTTTCACAACTTTTGGCCCTTAAATTACCACAAAACAGCATTTTTCTTTCAATATTTTGCACCAAATGAGGTTTATTCTTTTCACTCTTTCTCATTGAAGAGTTTTGGCTACCAAATAGACCTAGATGATCAACTTATTTTAATCTTAAACACGCAGTCACTCTGTTCCGAACCGTTCCGAAATTGTTCCGTTCCGAAGCAAAATGTTCCAAACCGAACCGTTCCGATTTTTTTTGTTCCGTGACATCTCTATAAAATATGCAAATTTCAGTAGATATATATCGAGACAATATTGGAAACTATGAGTTTTCGAACCAGCATGGTTTGGAAATGGTGAGAGAAAATCGACTACTCATTTATTCATAGTCCAAACTGAAGACAGAATAAGACAGAATAATGTCACTTACATTGGCCCCCTGGTATAAACATCATCACCCACCACCAGATGTTGAGCATGGAGATATGGTGGAACCAGTGCAGGAAGGTGATTTGATTGTTCTTCTTTCTTAACACCATCAACACAGTATCCAATAGCTCTATTGCTTTAGAAAAGAAATACCACCACAGCACTTTGGCAACCTGGAAGTACAGGATGGTATGACAGTTTTTTAAAATCATCTACCGGTATTTGTTTTTATGGAAAACTGACACCTATAAAAAGTGATATATGACAATATTGGATTTGGCAGTTGAAATAAATTTAATTAATAACACACAGAATCTGATTAAAAAAAAATATTTGGCATTTTTATTTAACTCATATAACTGAGGTTTGAACTACATGTACACCAAAAGAAACAAACATGAGGATTTCTTTGAGTGAGATGTTATTTTTGTCTGTAATATGTGGTCCAAATCATGGTTTGTAAATACATGGGGAGACATATTACTGGCTGTAGGATTAACTAAATCACTATGTCATCGCTAAGGAAAACAAAGCATCAAAATTCTGCACTAAGGGATATTGGGAAAATGTCATTCTGTTCCAGTGAGGATCGAACCCATGGCCCCTTGTTTTCCAGACGAGTGCTCTACCACTGAACTATAGGACCAACTGACTTTTTTTACTCAACATTGCATATACTGTACAGTATAGCATTGCAGCCATGTCTTGCATGCCAAGTTTCCTGGACCCCGTTTAAGTTTTAAAACAGGCAATACATTCAATCACTTCTACTTACCCTGAGTTCTTTTGGATTATCCCATGATTTTTTACTGTATGGTGTACATATATAGGAATAACCAGCATTCCATGTACTCAAAATTATCTGAAACATAAAACATACACTGTACAGGGCATTAACATGCAAAATGTCACATCCTACTATTTGTTACATTTGTTACGGATGTCAAACACCAAACACCAGCTGCCGCCTCAAAAAATTTGAGACTTAAACAACTTCTGGTGGTGACATAAAAATAGAAATATGAGACTGTTGGTGTCTAATACCCCATTGATATTTTCTTGAAACAGAGTCCTACATGTGCTTAACACATGAACTCCCTTGCCTTGAATGATACAGAAATTTTGGAATGACATTCAATGAAAAAACAATGACATATGTTCATACATGTACCATGGTTTACTTCAAAATTTTGTTTTGTTTAGATCAGAATTATATGAATGCAACTTAATGTCAAGATGGAATTCAAACGGTCACATATCGGTCAACGTTCATGAAATGATTGTGTGATTATCATTATAAAGTCCTAAGGTTCCAAAATTTATGATATTTATTATCATCAGCCCACCCCCTTGAAAATTGTTGAGGGGTTTCACATAAACACCCATGAGCAAAAAATGTCCAGTGGGAGCAAGAGAACCACTGACAGTGAATATTGAACAATTTGTTAAAATAATCATAGCATTTTTCTTGTTTTTATCCATCAATCAGTTCTTATAATATGACAGCTCATAAGAGTCCGTGAACTACTCATTGAATGGGTTCAAAAGGTTTGCATTTTATCAGTTCATTGAGAGCCTCAATTATTAGCACTGAGTATAAAGTACATATTATTGCAGGTTAAACAGCAACACCAAAGCATAGCAAATCCCATTGAACAGCCATGGCTGGCATTTTTACAAACAAAGTATATAGCAAAATGGCCACTTTCTAGTGTCATTAGTGTCAAAAGTGTCATTAGACAGTGTGCCAATTGCTTATAATATTCACATACCAAATATGAACAAAATCGCTCCACTACTTTTTGCGTTACAGCAAAAATCGTAAAACAATGAGTAAAAGCCGCCATTTTTCAAGATGGCTGCCATGTGCTTCTTCAATATCTACATTTCTAGCTTTATTAATGTCCCATATAATTTTTTTACATTTAAAACATATTGCTATTACATTTTTACATATTGCACCTAAATAACTGTAAAATCGGCACTAAAATGGCCACAATTTTTTTAATGAGTGGCCATTTTGAAAATCGGCTTTCGAGCAGAACCTCTTCCCCAATAGGGTATATGTGTACAAAATATTAACAAAATCAGGCCAACAGTATTTGAGTTATTGCCCGAATGGACGGACAGATGGACAGACGGACAGATGTAGGTGTTCCCTATATCCCTCCGAACTTCATTCGATGGGACAACAATTAATCGTATACATTCTAATGGCTGCAGACCAATCACTGAAATTACTTTAAGGTTTTGAATACTGAATCTCCTTATATGATGACCCTTCATTTTAACACCCAATTGCATTATTTTGAAATACATGTATCTTAAAAGCAATGCTACAATGCACTATCATTAGAAGAAATATGTATCAGCTGATTTGTACTGAGTGTTTACATTTTAGAGATCAGATTCAAGTGATGAGATAGTAATTAACCAGCTGGGCTGGGGACCTTGAAAACTTGGACTAGAGACTTTGGACCTGTACACACTTTTTATATGCTTAATAAATAAAAGCCAAAAATGATTCATGGCCACCTAAGGTAGTAAAACTGGCCATAAGAAAAAATTATATCAAAAGCTATATAATTTAGCAATATTAAAAATGCATTAACATGCTAAATGTTACTACTTGCCATTTGTTACAGACGCTGAATGCAGAACACCAACCACTGCCACAAAAAAGTTTGATACAATAACAATATGTCACCACAAATGTTGGTGACAAAGTAAAAAGTGAGAATTTGCATGAACTTTAGAATGCCTTATTATACAGCATTTCAACAGCTATGAAAAAACTATTTTATTTGGCCTTTTCTATGGAGAATCTCTTCACCATGTCATAACATACATGATCAGGGGATGAATTCAATATACAGGTACATGTACTCATAGCATGATACATGTACTCATAGGTACCTTGAATTACAATTGATTCATAAAACAAGGCCTGAGGGCTGCTCGTGCCTCTATATTCACAGAGTACAATGTGTCAGGTACAATTTATGATTATTTTTAAATCTACCCTTCCCAGTAATAATCCTTGGATCTAGTCTTATCCAATCAGATTAGGTCAATCAAAATACACTACCCAATTAGAATTGATCATTCTCTCAGCATTTAACTAAGTTAGAGAGTAGAAAGTAAAAATATTATTTGTTATTATTTCCATGTTATGATACTCAGTCTCTCATTGGTCAATTAGATACCATGTGACTAAAAATATATAGAGGTATTCCATTTCTCCCTGCTTAGAAAACGTGTGAAGAGTGTATTCAGCGCCAGTGACGTCATTTTAAGTGAATACCACTATATATTCAATTAAATGACGTCACATCACTTAATTCCCAGGAAATTAGTAAAAAGTATTTCCATCCGATATAACAGATATATTATAACAGAATATTGGCAAACATTTGGAAATACATGTATGTTGAAACTAAACATCATATCATAACAATATTTTGTACTTCTAACTTTAATATTGTGTACTACTTTAATGGGGAAATAATAAAAGAAATATTGAATTTTGTGATCGTTTAATATCTGTATATATTTCTGAGGGATGTATTCACCTGGCCCTTCGGGCTGCGGCAAATACACCTTCAGAAATATATACAGATATTCAACGATCACAGAATTCTATATTTGTATAATATTGTGTTCTCATTTACATCATGTTCGCTTACATACCTCAATTAGCATATAGGCGGAAAGAGCCACCAGGCCAAGGTTATAGACTACCAAGAATGCTGAGAGGTCATATGGTCGTCTATTCTTCATAATAGTTGGTCCCAGAAACACAATCAGCATATAGATGGCAGTAAGAGCCCATACATATACCGGAGTGTTATTGACCAGCAGCCAATCTTTGGTTCTTGGATCTGCAAATAAGATATCATAATTTAATTTTTTTATACCTACTCTTATAAATCAATGCTAGAGAATAGACCAGGCATAGCACATTCCAATGAAAAGAATGTTCTCCAAAATCTTGTTTAATCTTATATCGCAAAGGACAAATCTGAAAGGCCATATCAGAGGGGTTATCTTCTATTATCATTGAGGATTCTGATTTGAAAGTCTAGATCAAAGAATTGGTTATGTTTGAAAGATTGTAGACCCTACAATAAAAGCTTTAAGTCCAAAGTACAAAATGTAAAAAGAAAAAACATTGAAAACCATATAAACTGTATAAATTATACTCCTCAAAAATAGCATGGCAGGATATAGTTAAAAGTTTCCTTTAACTTAAATATTCATCAGTTTAGTGGTTCAATTTTCATATCACCCTTATGTATCTATTAGCAAGTTAAAATATGTCCAATAAAAGAAAATATTATCTGTCCAACACAAATAAAGGTTATGTACTGGGAGGTTTTGGATATGGGGTTTATCCAGAGGGAGATATACATATCTACCTGAGGGACCGTAGGGACCGAAGGTAGATGTGTATATCTCACGAGGGATGAACCCAATATCCAAACCGACCGAACATAACTGCTTTATCCTATACCAAGTAGAGTATTCTAATTTTCTTTCAATTTTTATTTTTTCAATTTTTTCACATTTTTCTAATTTTTTTTCAATTTTTTCAATTTTTTTTTTCGATTTTTTCATATTTTTTATTTTTTCAATTTTTTCTTATTTTTTTCAAACTTTTTTCTAAGCGGGAAGATATGCCCCGGAGCGGGAAATATGGCGGGAGATATGGAGGTCCAGGATATGGGAACCTCAAAATCAGGATACGGGATATATCTTACCAACTTATCTCCCTAAAACTCTACTTGGCATAGGATAAGAAGAGATATTTCACTTTTTGTGATTTTATAACATGGGGTCTATGGGGAATCTCCACGAACAAGAAGTCACATTTCAAAAAAAAAATTTCAAAGTTGATAAGAGAACCTTATTTCTAGACCATATTTCTAGATATACTTTTACATGTCAATTTCAAATATGACATCACTTTGACTGAATTTTAAATATTCAATGACATAAATTAAGATTATTTCTACTGGTATCGTATATAATTGCTCTCAAAAATGGAATTCAAATAGACAATTGAATTTGCTAACTTGTCTATTGTAACAGAGAGATTAACTTGAAAATTTCCCGAAATATAGAGAATAGAGTCAGGGTAAATATACATTTATTCAGTAGTCATACTTCTTTGAAGTTCAGTGGAATAATGAAGTCCCAATTACCTCATGGCGTTGACATCAGGCATGTGATCTTTGTCCAGGGGATGGATCATTCTTACTTCCTTTATAATTTCATATATCCGATAATTGCATAATTATTATTTACATTATCAGTTTTTCTTTGTTTAAGTCTTAGAAAATAGAGTTCAAACATCAATACATGGGATTAAACATGTAATCCTATGAGAAAAAGACAGATCCTTAACTTTTTTAAGGAGTATGTGTATATAAATAAGCCACACGGTGAACAGAATCGCACCCTTGAACAGAATACACTTTTAGGGATGGAAAATTTAAAATGACCACCTTAACATTTACCCAGACTGCCTAAAAACTAATCAGTTCTAAACTTTCCATAGAAACATCTCTAAAATTTTAGGATGAATCCATGAAACCTGTAAACAACCCTCAAGAGACACGTTTTAAGGTATTACTTCACAGTGTATCAGCTTTTTTTCTACAATTCAGATTTTCCTGAAAAAAAATGGCTCCCTTATCATTTACCAAGAATGCCTAAAAACTAATCAGTTCTAAACTTTCATAGGTAGAAACATCCCTGAGAATTTCAAATGAATCCCTCAAACGGTTTGGCTGGAAACCTATAGACAAGCCTTGACAGACAAGATTTTAGGACGGAAAATCCAAAATGGCCGCCTTAACATTTACCCAGAATGCCTAAAAACTAATCAGTTCTAAACTTTCATAGGTATCCCTGAGAATTTCAAATGAATCCCTCAAACGGTTTGGCTGGAAACCTGTAGACAAGCCTTGACAGACAAGATTTTAGGACGGAAAATCCAAAATGGCCACCTTAACATTTACCCAGAATGCCGAAAAACTATTCACTTCTAAACTTTCATAGGTAGAAACATCCCTGAGAATTTCAAATGAATCCCTCAAACGGTTTGGCTGGAAACCTGTAGACAAGATTTTAGGACGGAAAATCCAAAATGGCCACCTTAACATTTACCCAGATTGCCGAAAAACTAATCAGTTCTAAACTTTCATAGGTATCCCTGAGAATTTGGCTGGAAACCTGTAGACAAGATTATTCAGGACGCCCGCCGGCAAACTGATTACAATATAGCACCTTAGGGTGCGATAAAAATAAAGTATATTATGTATATTTGCTCCTCATCACTAGCAAATAATAACATGATTAGATTTGGGATTTTTGGAGCCCTGATAAAAAAAACTTTACTGGAGTAAATTGATTGCCAAGGATATTTTGTCTAGAAATTCCAAGTTAAAATTATCAGATGAACCTGATATTTTCATTTAACTTACAACAAAATCAACCAGCTGTTCATGAATCATCATTCCAAGAAGTAGCATGTTCAACTTTCTAAGCAGGGGCATAGCCAGCTTTCAGTCAGGGGGGGGTTGCGATCACCAAATTTTTTTCCGGTTTCCAGTCAGGGGGTGCGATTATGGCATATACAAGCCAAAAATTAAGATTTATTTTGAATTTTACAAAATTTGATGCAACTACCTTCAAAATTGAGCTAGAAGTTTTAAATAAAAAGCATTTTAAAGCTCTTTTCCTCTATCTATGGTTCATTTTTATTGGTTATGGGGGGGGTACCCTTCGCACCCCCCTGGCCAGTGGCTACGCTTATGTATTATGCGGGGTAGGGAGGGTAACTTACCATACCGAATGATACTGAATGAATGAAACAGCGAGTTTACTCAGTATCATAGCTCAGGCATGGACTCATTCTTAAATTATCAAGGTGACTGAAACTTTGAGAATCAAGAATCAAGGCCTGGTAAGAACCTGTGTATATGTGTTTAGGACTGCAACCGAATGAGATAAAAATACTGAGCAGAGCAAGTGAACATCCTACTCCAGTTCTAGTGAACATTAATGTTAGCACCTACAGTTATTAAACAAGCAACAAACCTGTAAATGTAATTTACATCCTAGGCAATTATGGCACCCTGGCTCCATTGATTTTGATTTATATGACACCAGAAACCTAATTACAACTGGGTTCCATATTATTAAAAATAGAGTAGAGAATCTGTTTTACCCCATAGGAGAGCATGAGAAGCATTGGGTTGTCATGTATTTAGATCAAGAAAAGATAAAATGAATTTTTGCATGAGTTTTGCATAACTAAAAAGAGTAAAACACTAACAATTCCTTTTCCTGCACATATGGCTCTCCATTTCAATCAAGTAAAAATGTTCTACTGTTACTTAACTAGGCTAAATGGAAAGTTACACTCGATTGACATGCAAGTAATCAGTCAGAAGACTGAAATAACCCATCTGAAGTAAGTGCTATCATTTCACAATTGCATCTTATTTCTCAACTAACCCAGATATTTGCCATGAGGCCACAGTAAATATATATATGTTTAGCTTATCCTTCTCATTCTATTTTTAAGATTAATTCAAACATGACCCTGCTCTATTTGAATTTCTCAACCAATCAGAATGCAGCATAGCCAATAAAGAACGTTTTCTATTTCTCAATACATGCAAAAAAAAATTTTCGAGCCACTATAACCCAAAAGTGGGTCCAATTTTGAAATCTTTAGACCCACTTTCTTCGAAGTTTGGCCTGAAATTAAAAAAATAAGGCCTTACAAGGCCCAGTAATGACTAAAAGGCCCACTTTTTGGGGCTTTGAGGCTTTTTTTGGGCCCAATTTTTTTTCTGGGCCCACCCAAAGGCCGATCCGCCAGTGCCCTCTGACTGGGAGCATGCACATAAAGACAGCTATCACCACCCTAATAATGAAAGTCCCCTTGAAAAACTAGAACCTAATCCCTATTCCTTGATGAAAACTGGCCATAGGCCTGATTTTTAAGGCCTCATACGTTAACTGTAAAACATACCTGCATGGGGTAAGGCCTCATCATACTGCCTGATCAGATCTGTTATCATACTTGCCATGGTAACTGCAATTAGAACAAATCACAAAATGAAATTACATCAAAATTGTATAAATACAGATGTAATGTTGTGTCCAAAACTATTCTTTTTCACATGAGAAGGATTATCATACTCATTTGTCAAAAACATGATAATTCAAAAAGGTATTTCAAACATTTAATACACAGCCATAAGAAAATAATGTTCAACTGGAATTAAATACCATAGCAATGCCAGGGCATAGTAAATTCCTTTGAACATTTTGCCAATTAGCACCGGGTATATGGCAGGCTTGTAGCCAGGAGGAGCTGGGACAGCGGAAGCCCCTCCCCCCTCCCAAGCCAGAAATTCTTTCAAAATCATGCTGTTTTTCACCCTTCCAAGCACTTTTCGCATGAATTTTTAGCCAAAAGTGTAAAAAGCTCCCCCTTGGTAAATCCTGGCTACTGGCAAGTATGGGAGGATGTGCGCTATTGTCTTGTTTCCTAAACGTTGTCTTGTATTCTAACTTTTGAACTCGGGCTATCACTCTCATTCATTGAAACAGAGAGAAGAAAAAAGTAAATACCAAACACAAAAAGTTGGGGTCTGAAGAACACATCCCAATTTTATTTTGGCTACATAAGAATCTATTCAAACAATTTCATATTTGGAGCACTTGGAGTTCAATTCATTTCATCTTCTGTCTGTATGTTCAAGGTTATAAAGTGTACTTATCTATTTGCTGACATTCTTTATCTAATGGTATATGTTTTCTATGTCTACCTACTGTATCTCTAACTACAGATAGCTTCAGTTGATGATTGGTTACTAAGCTTGTATTCGCGAATGCAACTAACGGCTGTTGGCTACCGGATTAACCTACTGTTTTATGACCAACTCATTTAAATATGAATCGAATAGTTGCAGGTGTTACAAGATTTAATAATTTTGACAAATAATTTCAATGAACATATGCTCCCAGGAATAATCTACGAAAAGTTTCAAAATTGATAAACATTATTTCAAAATTGATAAACATTATTTCAAAATTAATAAACATTATACAGGTATCAAAATGAGGATTTAAGTCAATAACAAGCTTGCACCTGCAGGTTGAGTGTATTGTTAAACTTTATTTCAGACTAATATTTAACTTACCAATCCAGAAATACTGCTAGCAAATAAATTCCTTGTACTTGTTTATGTGATAATCTTCTGGCAAGTACATGTATCTAGCTAGCGTTCTAGACTGAAACATTCAATTTACTAATCGTACATATCACAAATAACAAAGTTAGACTTCTATGAGGATTCTACAGTAGCAAAATCTTTCAAAATCATGCAGTTTTCACCATTCTGAGCACTTTTTGGCCATTTTTGGACCAGAATTGTCAAAAGTGAACCCCCCTGGAATTTCTCAAAAAGTGAACCCCCTTGGCAAATCCTGGTTACCGGCCTGCATGTATAAGTAGATACACAAACACACTACTAATAAAACTTCAGCCAGCCTTTGGAAATGAAAAAGTATATATTTTCTTTACTTTTCCTAAGAAAAAACATCCAAACAAAACTATTTTAACCATGGTGCAGTCAGTTTTTTCATGAGAATGAATGTAAATAATTGAGACAGAGGTAATCCACTCTAGCGTCGCTTTGAAAAACAACAGTTGTATGTCACATTCAAATGCAAAAGATTTCTTATTTTCGTTGTATCAGCCGAATTAGAAACAAAATGATCAATCCCTTCTACTCCCTCATTTTCTAAGAATGAATCAGACATGTACTTAGTTTTTGAACTAAAGAACTATTAATTCGCAAACATTATCACACCCTGTACTAGATATTCAACCCAAACAGCTGGATTTCATGGAGAAGGTCCACAGTTTTTAAACTGCACAAAGACACATGCCTTACACATTTAGCCTTTCCCAATGGCCATGATATCATTACGCATACCTATATTTATAATGATGCGGCAGCAAACTGCGATAAACTTAGTGCAGCTACTCTATCTTTGAATGCTCCGAAATCACTCTGCTACGTTCTTAGTGAAGTGATTTGGTATTTCTTGAGTAATTAGGAGATTTGTGTCAAAAATTTGGAACTAATTTTGAAATTTAATGCGCGGTATCGCATGTCAAACTTTTCACTAATCGAAATCATTATTTCAATACGATGGCGTTGTTTCTGGTGTCACGTTTACAACCGCTTTACCCCCAGACAAAGATACCTTTCTCCTAGGCATTTCTAAAAATGTTCGCGGCAAAACTTTTTTCTGAGCATGAAAGAATATGATATCTCGCTACACGTTTAGTAGCTTTAGGGAAATCTTATTATAATAATTTCGTTTCTTGGTGTTCATATAGATTTGCATAACGACCAGAGGAGAGGGTTCAACGAAGTTGAAATTGCTTGGACATTATACTTATAGAACGAAGGATTTATGATAATTAAGAACTCAAGAATTACAATTTCAACTGTATAAATGAGATAGGAAAGAAGTGGGCAGGTCAAATAAAGGGTAGGTCTCCAACAAACATCATAATTTTAACATTTATGAGTGCCGAATTCTGCGACAATCCATTAAATGGTATGCAAGATGTCCCCAGTATGACTAGGGACATGAAGTCTATACACATTACAAGTCCTTACACTCTACTATACATTGCATCTGGTGTTCATGAGCAACCCATGTGGCTTTTTAATAATAATTATGTTATTTGTTTTTATTTGTCTGTTCCTTATTAATGGTTTATCAGTTGACAGTTAGATGTTATATTATCATGAAATAAAATAAAATAAAAAATAAATACTTTCAAAAATATACTAAACAATGCAATTAGACAAACAGAGTATCTTATGCATTTCTAGGAGTTAAGTATAGTAGAGTGACAACATAGACAGCAGCACTAACAAGACTTAGTATTACCGCAGACTTAGAGATATAGATAAACTCAATCTGCCATTATTGCACTGGTGATCCACTCGATTACGCTGGTTACCAAAACGGTTCGTTTTGGTAACAAAATGTCGGAACATCCGGAAGGTACGATTTTTCTCGTTTCCTTATTTTACACGTTGAAGACAGAATTCCCTCGACATTTTTTAACACAAACGTGTATCAGTATCATATGTTTAAGAAAGTGTACATATTTGCGAACAAATAGTTCAGAAGACAACAGAATCGTCGATTTACTTCCTCACTTAAGTTACATAAACGGTTTGGGTTAAAAGTGCAGATCTTGACTGTTTTTCGAAAAAACCGTTTATGTAACTTAAGTGAAGAAGTAAATCGACGATTCTGTTGTCCTCTGAGCTATTTTTTCGCAAACATGTACATTTTCTAAGACATATGATACTGATGCACGTTGTGAGAAAAAACGTCGTGGGGATTCTCCCTACAACGCGTGAAATAAGGAAAAAAGAAAAATCGTGCCTTCGACGTTCCGACATTTTGTTACCAAAACGGTTCGTTTTGGTAACCAGCGTAATCGAGTGGATCACCAGTGTATTGATTCATAGATTAGAAAATAATATGATGTGTGGCGAAAATAGTAGTTTACTTAAATTGAAATTGCAAAGCTAAGATTATACAATCATATTTAATCCAAATTCCAAAAAAGAAATAATGTAAATACATGTACAATTTATTTTTTTCAAAAATGGAAAATGCATAAGAATTCTAGCACTGGTTGAGAAACCTTATACTATTGATATATTCTGTTCTCTGCTTAAAGGCCCCATCTAAAGTTTAAACCACTTTGGCTTATATTGTAGTCTTACCCAATATGAGCAAAGTGTGATATGTGAAACTTTTTTTTTAAATTTCAAAATGTGGTTTTTGATAAACTTTTTGTTCCAAAATTTGTGAATTTATTTAAAACCAACTTTTAGAGGTCACTCATATCTTCTAATTAGCCACAATTCATACCAATGCATAGCATTCATCCTCAAGTGTTTTTTGCCGAAAAAATTAAGAAAATCGGTTCATAAATAAGCGAGAAATGAACTTATCAGTGCATAAAAATGGTTCTGAGAAAAATGCATTTCAAAATTTTAGTTCTCATAGAAACCAATGGTACAATGATATCTAAAACATAATTTATTCTTCCTTTTAACCTGGTTAGACAATCAACATTGTTTTTTTTATGAAAGTCTAACATATTTAGAAAAGATTGACATCGAAAAAAATATTTCAATTTTTTTCAAAATGTTTTGGGTACCTTAGTGACATCACTAATGTTTCAAAATATTTTTGATATGCTAAAACATTGAAGTGGCCCATTAAATATGGCATTTTATTATTGAAATAGTGTGTCCTTTGTTCAATCTTTGCATTGGTGTTAAAAAGATAATCTTTTTTGAAACACGCCTAACCATCGCGTAAGCAGGCGTCACCGTACAGCGTCAAAAAATATAGTAGTACAGTTTTCTGTACGGTGACGAAAATTAACTGAGTTGAAGCAAAAACTATAATGAGGGTTTTAAAAAGATTAATTAGATGAAAATAAATACGGTTTCGGGTGTAATAAAAACATTTTTCTGAGTGAATCGGCCCACATTATCGACTCGAGAGAAAAATGTTGTTTTTTCACTTTTCGTTTGGTTATTATTTTCACTGTCGTCTGAGAGTATGGATTATTTTTATGAGAATATGTATTTGTTATCTACACATTTTAGAACAGATGAATATTCGGCAAATAATCATTCAGTGTATTTATTTAAAAAAGATCAGAACTGTACGGTGACACATCAGCTGTACGGTGACGCTTCCTTAGATTTTATGAAGTGCTCTAAGCTTACTGTTCGAACAAGAGGTAAAGAAGCGTCAGATCTACATGTACATTATCATGTACATTATGGTAAGTATCAAGCGAAGGTTACAGCCGTCACCTTCGCATTTAAGATGGCGGACATGAAGTATTAATTTCGATATTTTTAGTTTTCATGGAATTAACTATTTGAAAGTTGACGTAATGCTTTGGTATCATTTGAACTAAACCAGGCTTTTCTCATATGACTAACAAAGATAGCCTACACAGCC